ACATACACAGCGATACAGCGACACACACACACACACGGCGCACACACGGCGCACACACGGCGCACACACTGTACACGTGCACATACATGCAAGCACCCGCCACCTCTCCTTTCTTTTTCCCTCTCCCCACTTTCCCCTGTGTCGGGTTACTTGTACGCCCTGACATAATCGATGACATGGTAGACCGGGTACAATGCATCTGGTCCGGGCGGGAAATACCACGCGACGGCTGTGTCCAGGATCAAATAAAATGGGTCTGTGTGGATGCACATGTCATGTGAATGTTGTGGTGTGGATGGATGAGGCGATGAGAGCGCGCGCGCGTAGCAAAATGTCAAAACTGCCGTTGTGGCATTCGTGTGAGCCCTGTCGCTGTGCTGGCGCGCAGCCGTGCGATGCGACCCTTGAGCAGCAGGCAAAAGACATGTCGCTGCGACGTTCTCACGGAGCGCATACGCTTGTACCTTGTGGAATGGACACCTCGTTGGCCGTCTTGACATGATAGCACTCATCGTCAACGAAGAAGGCCATTGTCGTTTCGTTCCACTCCACAGCATATGTGTGAAATTCTGAGGTCACACATCACATCACCACCACAACACAGGCAATAAATGCACGAACAGAGCAGCGAAAGGGGCAGAAGAGGCACGAATCAAGGAGAGCAAACGCCAAGAACAACATCCAATGCCCAGACAGTACAACAGTGCTGTTGTGACGTGCATTCAGGCAACTTCATTTCCCATGCGTCTTGGCTTCTGTTCCGTTGTTGTGATATGTAATCCCAACTCAAAGTACGGCACATGACCTCACAGCACATTGTGTTGCTGATCCTTCCTCACCTGTAAAGTCAACACTGCCGGCACGAAACTCGGGTGGATACATGCTGCCAGGCAAAGGCTGCTTGTCATCGCCACAGGATGGGCCCCACCTACAGGGTGGTGGTGTCGTTGTTGTTTGGAGCAAGCCCAATAGCACACATGCATGAGTACGTGGCAGCGTGGCAGTGACCATTCAGCAAATGACAGGAGCATGCACAGCAGCCTGCTGTTGGGTCGGCAGAGGGTCTGTTCATCGACAATGGCAAGAAAGTACAAAACAAAAAACACCGACACGCCAGCGAGGTTCTGCGCGACTGTTGCAGTCTTACCGAAACGTGGCAAAGACAGCATCCACGAATGGGTTGGCTGTGTACTCGAACACGTCGATTTCACCTGGACATGGCGTGGTGTGAGTCAACACAACAAAGCCTTATAAGCACAACCGCTAAGCAACATAATAAGTTGTGATGGCCTTTTGTAGCCTCGTGGGCAAGATACAGCCCCCTCTTGTTCCCACATCACAACACATGGGACATGACATCATCAGGTACAAACCGAATGGTCACACAGGGCATAGAACTCGGGAGGAAACGCAGAGTTGGCGCAAGCTCAAAGGTAGGGTTGCAGCTCGCTTATGCTGGCCAACATGGTTCAATTCACATCCTACATGGCACAGTGCTGCTCATTGTTCACGCACCACCGACTGGCCAGCACACGTCGACCGGCGACGCGGTGGAAGGGTTTGGCATGAGCCAGAATGCGGGCCAGATGCCTGTGGAGCGACGATCCGGCAGAGACGCGTTAATCTCAAACCGCCCAAAGCGCTGATACCAACGCTCCTTCGTATCGACCCAGCCGCTTGTGAAGTTGAACACCTGTCCTCCTGGACCCACGACGCGCTCCCGATCGGTCCTGCAGCATGTCATTGTTTTGATTGGGGGGAGGGAGGAGGGGAAACGGGAAGTGTGGTGGGGGGGGGGGGGTGAGTCCAACGGCCACATACGCATAGTTAGTGCGATTAAACATACGGCAACGAAGGCCGAGGGATGTGGCGGGAAATGTAGAAAGAAGTGCACAGGGAAAGAGGGAAATGCATGCAGACACAAACAAACTGACAGCCAGACAGCCAGACAGCCAGACAGCCAGACAGCCAGACGCACAACATGCAGACAAACAGACAGGCAAACAAACACACACACACACAGACGCACAACAGGCAGACAGACAGACAGACATACATACAAACGCACAAACACACACACGCACAAACACACAAACAGAGACACACACAGACACACATACATACAAACTAACTAACAAACAAACAAACAAACAAACAGACAGACATACATACATACATACATACATACAAACATACATACATACATACAGACAGACAGACATACAGACAGACAGACAGAACCACCCCCCCCCCCACACACACACGCCGCACACACTCACTTGAGGACGAGGGAGCCATTTGCGACGTAGACGTTCTTGGAGAGGTAAAGCTGCGGCTCGCATGGCTCGCAGTGTGTCTGATTCTGGCGCACTTCCCACCTCGATGTGTTCAGTCCCTCGGAGAAGTTGTCCTCCAACGTCAGCGTCCAATTGCGACGAACCAGGGACTTGCACAAGTCTGCATCGTTGCCAACGCCTTTCTCTCCCACTGCCTTCACTGCTGGTCCCCACAGCTGCCGCTGCCTCGCATCACAACACGAAGCAGCGACAAGGAGGACAGCCAACACCACCGCACACCACCGCGCCGTCATCGCCGCTGCCATTTTGTTTGTTTTTTGGGTTTGCTTGCAGGCAAAACCACGAAACAAACAAACAGGTTTATTTTTTGCTGTCGTCAACACACCCCACCCACCCACGATGCTGCTGCTGAGGACTGTCGTCGCGACAACTGCTGCTGTGGTTGTGGCGCTGCTGTGCTGCGTCGCTCTGGTGCCGCCATCAGCAGCAGCAGCTTCAGCTTCAGGTGAGATGGTGGATGTTGATACAGGGGATGAGGGGAGACAAGGAATCCGTGTGTATGTGTGTGTGTGTGTTGTGTGTTGTGGAGAGGTTAGGCGGGGTCACGAGAGGTCGAAGGCAACATGAGTTGCGAATGCACGAGAAGATTGTGCTCTGAACACACACACACACACACACACACACACACACACACACACACACATACACACACGCTCACACTCACCACCAATCGCCATTGCCATCAACAATGGCACAGGTCGCTACAACATCGAGCACCGATCTTACAGAGTGGCTCGGTCTCCGTCAGTGAGTGCACACCCCAACCTGAATTTCTTGCTGTGCAGCTGAGCTTGATCTGCACACGCTACACACGTGCACACTTGCTCGTCGTTTGTGCTTACTTGGGACATGTGATCTTGCCGTCATCTATCCCCAGCTCACCCGTCCCTCCGCCCTACCCACATGCACACACACACACACACACGCACGCACTCGCAGACTGTGAGCATCAACTCAACACACGATTACTACGGCCTCCGGTTGTACCCGGCCCTAGGTGACAGCGGCGACAACTACTGGCTACAGCCAGATGACACGTACGTCAAGTCACCCGTGATTAGCGCCAATGATGTGTTAACTCAAGAACTCAGCCTTTCATTCACATCTTGTCCCTCTATCCTGATCAGTTGAACCTTCCTCCACTGCAGCACACACACACACACACACATACACATGCACACAACACGCTCGTCTTGTCATCTCACGCAAGTGTGTGCAACCTTCCTGTTATGTGTACATTTGTACATGTGTTAGATGGGACGAATATCGCGCACAGTATCGGTCCTATGTGTCTGTGCCTCTCTCGTTTAGCTTTCCATTCTACGGTGTCGACACACGCCTAATTCACATTGCATCTGGAGGTGAGTCGATGAAACTTGGGTTGGCAGCTCAGGTGCAATATCCATCGCTCCATGCCGTGTGCCCTTGCTACCTCTCCATTCTACTGTGCTTGCGTGCATGCAACACAATAACACAACACACCCGACACACACACACACACACACAATACATTTTGTACTCGTGCTTGCAGGCATTTCCCCTCTCTCTCTCTCACACACACACACACACACACACACACACACACGAATTTGCTGCTGGACAAAGGCTTTGTGTCCACGGTGCCAGGTGACAAGGACGCGTGGCCTGTGACTGTGGAGTCGTATTACATTGCGCCGTTGCTGGCTGATTTTGACCATGGAAACACCACAGAGGAGACTGTTGCCTTCAAGGACTTTGGTGACACCTTTGTTGTGCAGTGGCGCGGTGTGGTGCTGCACACGCGCCAAACACCAGAACCCTACAGCTTCCAATGCGTTCTCAAGCGAGACGGCACCATCCAATTCTACTACAAGGAGGTGAGAGACGAAACACACGCACCGTGAAGCACAAGCGCCGTCGTTTCTACAGGAATTTGCTTGCTCTTGTGTTGAGGCAATGCTGGTGCAGGTAACCTGCATGCGAAAGCACGCACATTCACGCCATCTTGCGTTTCGTCTCCAGCTTTTGCGCTCATATATTGTGCGTCAGCCGCGCAGCACAGCACACATGCCTTAAACACATGCCTTGAACTTGCACCCACTCACGAGCTCAATCGCTCGCCTGCACCCATATTCGACCCCGTTTGCTGTCGCAGGTTCCACTGGCCCCAAACTTGATTCGCATCGACAGCGATAACAGACACCCCGTCGAGGTACCCTCCAGCAGTTGCATGTGTGATGCCATCATAACGTCTGCACTCCACCGACCTTCTGTGTCTCGAGTGTTTGTCACAACTCTGCTGCTGTTGTATGCCCGAGGCCAAAATGTCTTTTCGCTGCCGCCGTGCACAGCTCCCCACCCACACACTCTCATGAAAGCAACGGCATCCTTCACACTCTCACATATTGCAACCTGCCGATCTCATTCCCGTTGATAAACGCTCTCCAGGTCGGGCTGGCGGACTCATACACGCGCGTTTTGACTGTTGATGGGGCGGATGTTACTGTTCGCTACGATTATCATTCCATCGACGTGCCGAAGGCCAAGATTCAGAACACAACGTTTATTGTCTTTGACCCTCTCCCGAGTAAGCTGGCAAGCGATGTGTCGGGCTCTGATACAATCACAGCGCACCTCGTACCGCACCGCACGTCTATGAGTGTTTGCTTCGTCCTACAAGTACACGAGTACAAGAGTACAAGAGCGCACACAACACCTCCTCTCATCATCGTGCCCACAGCTCACTGCCATCCACCCACTTATCTTGGTCACTTGCTCTTTGTGGTTTACAGCGTGCAACTCGTATTCGACGTGTCGCACGTGCGCGCAGCACGATACCGTGTTTGACTGCGTCTGGTGTCCAGCGCTTGGTGAGTGTGCCTTTTTCCTTGCGAATAGGGTTCCTGCTGTTGTGCGTCTCTGTGTGTATATGTGCGCTTGTGCGCTTGTGTGTGTGTGTGTGTGTGTGTGTGTGTGTGTGTGTGTGTGTGTGTGTGTGTTTGCGTTATGCTTTCCTCTCCCGTGGATGTGCATGTGCGTCTCTGTCTCCTCCCTCCCCCTATCGCTATCTCAATCCCACGTCCAAGCAGAGTTTTTGCACTCGTGTCCTCACATCTTGAGGGTTGTGGTTGTGGTTGCGTTGCTCTGCCTGCTCGCATGTCATGTCGTGCGCCTGGGACAGCGCGCTGCAGTGATGGGTTTGACCGCTATCGCGATGAGTTCCTGACTGCGGACTGCGACACCGACGTCAGTTCCTGCGATTGCTTTGAATGTTGGAATACCCAAAGCACGAGCAGCCGGCTTCGTTTGACTATCAACTGCTTTGTGACCTACCCTTACCTTTCCACACGCGCACACCTTCACTGACCCTCATGCACACATGTCGATGATAGAACATCTCTCCGGAAGAAATTGATCAATGCACCGAACCAGTGACAGGTTAGATGCTGTTTTGTCTGCGAGCTTGTCTGCCCTAGTGCCCTGCTGCAGTACTTTCTTCCTTCTGCCTCTTTTCTTCTCCACGAGTCCTCCTTCATTCAGTCATCTCTCTTTTTTTTTTTTTTTGCATGTCTAGACACGTATGTGTACAAGTTTGCGTGGCCCGCCACCAACTTTTCGGATGACTGCTGGTACTGGCTCGGGATTCGCGTCGACCATGATGTCTCCTTGTTCGAAGGTGTGTGTGTGTGTGAGGGCGCGTGCGTATGTTGTGTGTTGTGGTGTGTTTTTGTGTGTTGTGTTGTGTTGTGTTGTGTGTGTGTGTGTGTGTTGTGTTGTGTTGTGTATGTGTTGTGTTGTGTTGTGTTGTGTTGTGTTGTGTTGTGTTGTGTTGTGTTGTGTTGTGTTGTGTTGTGTTGTGTTGTGTTGTGTTGTGTTGTGTTGTGTTGTGTTGTGTATGTGTGTGTTCTTGACGTGCGCGCCTTTCGGGTGCTCATGTTTCTCTTAATCGCCCTCCCCCCTCCATTTCCAACCCACCCCCCTTTGCTACGGTCCTCTTCAGATCGGTCCGTTTCGCCGAGCGAAGAAGGCGCGGGCGTCACCGTGTCGTTCGCCCTTTCCCTGACGAAAGCAGACAGCATCCACGTGCTCAACCACCTCACCGCCGGTTCGTGTTGTGTTGTGAGCAGCAAACCACGAGCAGCGCGCTGTGTGCGCGCGCGCGCGTGTGTGTGTCTTATCAGTTTCCCCATTCATATCAGCACAAGACCACTTGCTGCTGCCTTGACTTGCTTGTGTTGCATGCGTTGCTGTCCCATCATTTTGTGCTATGAATCACCAACTCTCATTCCACCCCGGCAGACCTCCCTCTTCGGTGTGATGGCACCACACTCGCTGTCTCCAACGCGCAGCGACAAGCACCTTCAGGTGAGAGCATACATGCAACAACAACAACAACAACAACAACAACAACAACAACACACACACACACACACACGACACACGACACACGACACGCACACACACACACACACACACACACACACACACACACACACACACACACACACACACACACACACACACACGACACACAACACAACATGCACATTTTACTTTGCTCCTTTGTGCTGTTCATGTGCGGGCCATGCCCTTGTGCACCGCACACTGCACGGTGCATGTTGAAGCTAACAATGTCACGTGCTGACTCCATCGTTCGTTCTGATTGTCATGTTGGCTCACCGCTTGCCGCTGGCGTTTCTTCTTGGTTCGTTCTGTCCAACTTGCAGGCTCCGCGACTGTATCAACAGAGACCATCATCCTGATTTCCTGCGCTGGTGTCCTTGCCATCCTTCTCAGTACGTTTGGCGTGTGTGCGTGTGCGTGTGCGTGTGTGCGTGTGTGCGTGTGCGTGTGTGCGTGTGTGCGTGTGCGTGCGTCTACGTGTGTGCATGTCTGCATGTGTGCGTGTGCGTGCGTCAACGTGTGTGCATATCTGTATGTGTGCGTGTGCGTGCGTCTACGTGTGTGTGTGTGTCTGCCTCTGCATGAGCTAATGGTGCGCCGTTGCTGTTGGGTTGTTTTTCCACACACATTTCAGTTGCCATAATGGGCGTGCTGTTCTATGGCTACTCGAACCCAACGACTCCGCTCGGGCAATGGATGATCCGCCACCGCCGCTGTCGAGGTGAGATGGCGGCGTGTGCGAAAGCGCGAGCGCGCAGAAACCTGAGGGATGGAAGGATTGAGATGAATGGTGGAGTGCTTACAATGGGCTGCATGCATGCCTTGTCACTCGAAGCACACATTGTTCCACACATATTGCACACATTGTTACACATATTGCACACTCACACAACACACACACACACACACACACGCACACACACACACACACACACACACACAACACACACACGCACACACACGCACACACACACACACACACACACACACACACACACACACACACACACACACACACACACACACAATGCACACAGGGCTGTGCTGTTCTGGAGCGGATGTTGATGCTGCCGGGAATGGCGGGGATGACCGCGAGGCATTACAAGACACCCCTGTGGACACAGCAGCGCCCAGCGCTCACCCAGCCGATCCCACCTCTCCCCAGCAAGAACCAGCAAGAAGAAGCAAGTGCAGCTTGAAGAACACGCACACACTCACGCATATTCACACACATATTGTTGGTGATAAGCCACCACCACCACCACCACCACCAGCACCCCTCCCACTCCCACTCTCTGCAACTATTACTACATCTTCCCACCACCACCACCAGCACCAGCACTCGTTTGCTTCCCCACACAGCATCTGTGGTGCCTTGCTTCTGGCACTGGCCACTCACCCACCCGACTGCTTTGTTGGAGAGTGTGTGTGTGTGTGTGACACATCAATATCCTCAAGTACACCTCAGTAACAAAGCGTCATTGAACCCAACAAGCCCCGAGCACAGAGTCCACCGTCTCACGGCATCTTGTGGCATGTCATATCATGTCACATCACATCACTCACAACCATGCTCCAAAACGCTGCACAAACAAACCAGCAAAACGCCCACTCACCACAACAACAACAGCACACCACCTCGAGCACCACCACCCACCATGGTTGAACGACGTATGGTGGTGGCTGGTGTCCTGGCGTTTGCCGTGCCGGCGGCGTTCAACCTGCTGTTGAACCTGGCGTCGTCGGCATCTGCAGGCCTAATGAGCTTCTTCTTCTACACGGACTTCTTCCTGGCCGTGGCATCCGCCGTCTTGACAGTGGTCCTCTTGCGTGAGGCAAACCTCCTCACCCGCAACAACATGTGGCTGCCACTGGCGTTTGACCGGCTCAACCTCTTTGGGTTCTGCTTCGCCGCGTTCCAGCTCCTCGACATCCACACCATCGTGTACACGTACCTGGACGAGTCCGTGCACCTGAGCACAAGTGACTTTGGGTTCCAGCTTGCACGCCGCATCGTCGTCACAGTCACCTTCATCGCCCTCCTCCCCTACATCTACCATGTGGAGCGCAAGCACGAGAGCGAGGACACATACCATGCCATCGACAACGACACCCATGGCGGCGGTGGCGACGACGACAACGACAACGACGACAGCGACGACGACAACAATGACGACAATGACGACCAGGTGCACGACGCCAACCCACAGAGCAGCCACCACGAACAGGGGACGTCCAGCAGAGAGATTCTGCTCGCCGGCATCATGTGCGGGTTTGGGCTGGCAGAGGCGCTGCGCATGCTGCTGTTGCCTGCCCTTGCATTTGAGGACTTCCATCAGCTGGAGCTGCACACGCGCGAGAGCAGCCTTTGGCTCAACTTTGGCCTGATCCGCCCGCTGGCCGTCGTGTACGTGCTGGAGGGCGCCGTCACAATCGCCCACGGCACGCGCAACCACCCCCGCTTCACCATCAGCCCCCTCCTGCACAAGGCCAACGTCATGGACGACAACCCATCCATGGGCGTGGCCCTGCTCGGCATTGCCTACTTCAGTCTCATGCTCTTTGGCCACTATGGCGTTGAGCTGCACGCCGTCTTCACGGCTGGCTTCGCCCTGCTGGAGGCGTGCGTCACCATAGGCGTGCTGCTGTGGCTGCTCGTCCGCTACGCCTTCCCCTGCCGCGCACGCTACGGCATGCTGTCCATGCTCCGCTTCGACCGCTTCTCGTTTGTCCTCGGCACGGCGTGCTGCGGCCTGGCGTGTGCGCTGCTCACGTGGGTTGTCATCATCCACGACTCCGTGCGCGTGGAGGAGGCAAGCCTCTTCTCTCGCAACGTGGGCTGGTTCCAGGCGGTGTTTGTGCTGCACATCGTTGATGCCGTCTTCCAGTCCATCTTCCTCATCATCGTCCACAACATCAACTCCACCGCCACGCACAACCTCGCACACAACGTCCTCTATCTCCTCTCCTGCATGCTCATCCTCCACAACCTTGCGCTGTGGGTGCTCAACACAGACTACGAGCTTGCCCTCAGCCGGACGCTGACGAGGAAAAGCACGCGCTTGCTCATCTCCCTCTGGCCGCTGGTGGTCGAGTGCCGCATGCAGTGTGTCGTGCTCATGTCTGGTATTGTCTTGCACCGCGCCCACAAGAGCACAGGCTTCTTCGCCACCCTCCTCAGCTCACGGCACGCATCTCTCCAGCACAAGGTGCACGCGCACCACACCTTGCACGAGCCACTGCTGCCATCAGGCGGTGACAGCAGCCAGGAGACCCGCATGAGTGGCGATACGTCCACAGATGGCGACGGCGCTTCAGTCAACCGCGCCCCATCCACAGCCCCATCCACAGCCCCATCCACCACGCTTTCAACACCATCAACGGCAACAGCAGCAACGGCAGCAACGACAACATCAGCCACCACGCCCTGGTTCGTTCCGCAGGGGAGAGCAACACTTGATTTTGAGTACTGGCACCCCAAGCCGTGGTTCATGCTGCTTGCCTTGCTTGGTGCTGCTGCGCTTGCATCGCTGAGCATCCCTGCGCCAGGATCGCCACCGCTGCTGCCGCCACGCAACATCTCCACGTTCCTGCTGCTGGAGTCGTGCGAGCAGTTTGAGGCGTCTGGTGGACAGCAGCACCGGCGCAGTCTCGCCGACGCACACATGAGCAGCAGCAGCAGCAGCAGCAGCAGTGGGGGTCGCAGTGAGAGTAGCAGTGCCGGTGTTGACAGTGCTTGGCTCTCTGATGGGGATGATGGGGAGGGCGCGATTGCATCTGGTCAAGCGTGGTCGTGGGTCAGCGCTGTTGCAGCCACCCAAGACGAACTACCTGATCGCGAGGGCCAGCATGTTGACTACAGCTACGTCGTGAACGTTGTATTTCGTAGCTAGTCAATTGCGAGAGTAGGTCCCTCTGACGATCGCACCCGTCCGATAAAACCACAACTTGCCCACATGCTAAACGTGTGGATATACAGCGAATAAGGTGCGGCCGGATGGCATTGCTGCAGTTCGCTAATTCTGAGTCCCTGGCTTTGTCAACGCCATCGAAAAGTACCTTCGGGCTCCGAGTTCCTCTAGTCATACCGAAAGAGATAAGTAACTTCGTTTCAATCGAACCTGCACTACACCACTATGTCGGCGCGCATAGTGACTTTGTTACTCCCCTATAATAAGACTCCCGAGATTGGAGTCTCACGTATTATGGTTGGAGCAGGCGTGGTCACGCCTTTTACAGAAGTATTTTTGGATACCGTTTCCTGGGCATTAAGTAATAATGGGCCCCTCGTTGAACTCTGACTGTATACCAAAATCATTCTGGCCGCAAGTGCGGGGCTAATAGAACGTCGCAATACGAGAATGTAGGAATCGAACAATCAGCTGATGGAGCATTCTGGGCGAATAGGTGAGCGTGCTGCTGATCGACCTGCTGCTGCTGCTCGCTGCGCTGACATACACGCTGTATGTGTCGCAGTCGACAGCGCACCTGCGCGGGGAGGACTACCTCAACGTCAAGTACTCGCACACGCGGCGGCAGTGGATGCAGCGCTACTTCCTTGCGGGCTTCTTTGCGTGTGCTGGGCTGCTCGAGCTGTTTCTGAGCGCGTTTGACAGCTACCGCGTGCTGGTGTACACGGAGGCCATCATCGACCGCCACCGCTTCCTGTACATGGGCGTGTTGCGCGTGGTGAATGTGCTGACGTACTTCCAGCTGGCCACGCTGCTGCTGCCGCACAAGCTGCACCCGCCCATGACCAGTGTGATGATGCGCCACCACACGACAGAGCAGGCGATAGCGCGGCACAGACACATCCACGGTACCCGTGGTGTTGGTGGAGATGGCGGTGGTGGAGATGAGTGGAGCGAGCGAGTCAGTGGTGATGGTACAAGACAGAGCGTGGTTGATGTTACGGCAAGCGATAGCGAGGATGATGGTGCCGATGATGGTGGTAGCGATGGCGACAGGGGCACTACTGCTGGCGGTGATGGCGGGAGGAAGCCAACGCGACTGCTGCGGCGGCTGCGCGGGTTTAATGGCGGTGCATCCAGCACAGACAGGCTGCCCCGTCCCCGCAACTCCCGCCGAGATGGTGGCGGGCGCCGCGCGAGCGTGTTCCACTCCATGGTGCAGCGGCGCGATGGCGGATTCCATGAGCTGGAGCTGGATGGCCATGGCAATGGTGGCGATGGTGGTGGTGGTGGTGGTGGTGGTGGCGATGGTGGTGGTAACGGCCCTGTTGTGCAGCGTGTGGCCGATGGGCTTGGGCTGGTGCCACTTGCGGTGTTATTACCGGCGGTTGTGCTGGCCGGGTTTGTCATTTCGGTGCAGTATGGCGCATGCAAGAGCCCGCATTACTACGCGGTGGCGTGGATGCTGGTGTCGTGCTTCAACATTGGCGTGTCGCTGACGCTGCTGGTGCGGTGGCTGGGGCCATTCCCCTCTGCTCGCTTGAAGTCGCAGCTTACGCTTCTCCACCCGCGCACGTTCACGTGGGGCCCCACAGTGTGGATGGTGTTGCTGTGCGTGCTCATGTCGACTGCAAGCACGGGTCTGCTTGTGCACCGCGACGCCGTGGCTGCGGACGTGACGCTTGCGGAGGTGGTGCAGCAGGTGGATATGGTGCTGGCGATGGTGGTGGGGATGGCGACGCACGCCAAGCGGCAGAGCCCGGACAGCAGGGAGCACCGCAAGTGGGCACAGCTGTGCAGCAACCGCGCCTTTGCCATCATGCTGCTACTTGCCTTTTCCCAATTCGCAATCTGCTTTGCCAATCTCGACAACTACGTTCGCCTCAACAGCCCGGGATTTGTGCACGTACGTTTTGCTCGCTTGTTTGTTGCCGTGTGTGTGTGTGTATAGGTGGGTTGTTTGATTTGTTTGCTTGCGTTGCGTGTTGTGTTGTGCGGTGTTGTGTGTTTATTTGTTCGCTGGCTTTGTTCGGTAGGACCTGTGACAGTCACCGAACGTGCGTGTCAACGAAGCCACACCAGTGCCCTCACCCTCCTCACCCCCACCGCACTTTTCTGTTTTGCACAAACCAGACACGCCTGCCGCTGATCGACCACTGGGCGCTCGGGTTGTATCCGTTTTTCATTCTCGCCCGTCTTGGCCTCGGCCTCCTCCTCGCTCGCTCATGCATCGCCTGCCACGTCTGATCACCCGCGCGCGCGCGTGTGCATGTGTGCACATGTGTGTGTAGCAAATATCGTATTGGCACGCGTGCTGTTGGTACGGTGGCACCACTCGTCTTCGTGTTCTTCTCTCCATGCATGGCTGCAGTGCCGTTTTGAGCGTATATTGATCATGGTGGGGTTGTGGTGATCGCACACATGTGTGTGGACCTCCAACCGAGCGCACCCCATTTAGCGTTAGTAGACAACAGTTGAATCTTGCACTGGCAAAGTGCCGTGGCAATGTAACAGAATAGTCTCGCGTTGTATGCGTGTGAGTGAGTGAGTGAGTGAGTGAGTGAGTGAGTGAGTGAATGAGTGAGCGAGTGTAATGTGAATGAGTGAGCGAGTGAGTGAGCGAGTGAGTGAGTGTAGCAAAGCAGGAAAAATAACAGAAGTGAAGAAGGTCAGCCAGAGAGGCAGCGGCTGTGGCGGTGAGGAGGGCACATGGCTGTGACGTTATGTTAAATTAGACAGGCAAGAAAGTAAGAAAGGGTGGAAGCTATTGGGGGGATTGAGGAGAAGCAGCTCATGCTACGCTGCAGAGTTTGGCGTGAGCAGATGGGCAACAATCGGTTGGCCAGGCTGCGCCATTTCGCCCAGGGCCGTGCCATTGGGCGGTTCCTCCTGCGTGCTCGCCAAAATCAGCATTTGCTCCCCAGGCACAATGTTCGTGTCGCCCATCACCTTGTCTTTCAGCTGCATGGCATGATATGTTTGTGTGCGTGTTTGTGTGTTTGTGAGTGAGTAGTGTGAGAGAGAGAAGGAGAAAGAGAGGGAGAGGGGGAGAGAGAGAGAGAGAGAGAGAGAGAGAGAGAGAGAGAGAGAGAGAGAGAGAGAGAGAGAGAGAGAGAGAGAGAGAGAGAGAGACAGAGAGAGAGAGAGAGTGTGTGTGTGTGTGAGTGTGTGTGCGTGTGCGTGTGCGTGTGTGTGCGCGTGTTGATGGTTGATGATACCAAGTGCATTCATGACAACTGAAGCCAAATGGCAACAATCAAGAGCCATGAAGCAACAGCACGACGCACCATGCCGAATGTGTCTGTTGTTTTGAGCCTGTACGTGTATTTGTGTTCTTCAAAGTGCACCTCCACATCGACCTCCATCGCCTGTGCAGCCTGTTGATTCTCCAGCAGCATGTTCATGCAAGCCTAGGAGAATGCGTGCACGTGCGAGTATGTGTGAGCATGTGAGCATGATTGTGCGTGTGTGTTGTTTGTTTGGTCGTTTGGGGAATCGCTGTTGATCGACACGTGTGGTGGCCGTGAGCGAGTGAAGAGGAGGGGGGAGTGGGGTGCGCATCCCAGGTCTCCATGCACGCGTTGTAGTCATGTGATACCACGGAACGGCGTGTGCTCCATGTGGAACAGCACCAGCCATGGCACAACGTCGAACAGCACTCGCCATAACACGGACACACCCAAAACAAAACCAAAGCACTGCGCGTCGCTTCGCTGGCTTCGTTGGCTTCTATCGCTGCCTTGTGCCTCTCTGACTGACCTGAAAATCGAAATTGCTGCTCTCCAGGACAGACCTCAGGAAGAATTCGTCTGCACAGCCCGTCACCTTGCCCAACTCAGCTACCATGGCCACCTTCTGCTCCTCTGACACCTCCGCCATCCTGCCTGTTGTGTTGGTGTGTGTTGGTGTCTGTGAACTTGGCCTTGCTTGCTTGTTGTCGCGAGTGCCTCTTGGCAGTGGTGTGCTGAAAATTGAAGCAAGTTTTACACCACTTTTCCGAACCCGTGGTTTGTGGACGTGCGAACGGCCTCTGTTGTCTCTCAAGCACCCACCACACCAACACCAACGATGAGCTACATCCAGGTCTGTGCATCCTCATGCAGTGGTACATGCGTGTATGTGAGTGTTTGTGTGTGTGTGTGTGCTTGTTTGTGTTGTGTTTTTGGGTGTGTGACGTTTACATGTGTGCATGTCGGGAGACGGCGTTGGCATGAAGATGCGCCCGCGTGTCGATGTTCCGTGTGCTCACTGAGCATTGATCTGTGCGTTGCTTTCGGTTGTGCAGCAAGAGGATGTTGTCTTTGAGGAGGACATCCTCCGCAATCCATACTCTGTCAAGCACTGGATTCGGTACGTGATACAGCAATGTATTGGTAGAAGTGCGTGGCTCACGCCAACGAAAGGATGATCCTGTGAACACCAACACGCAACTGATGCAACCAATGCAACCAATGCAACCAATGCAACCAATGCAAACTCACTGTTGGAACAATACACACACACACACACAACACATAACACACAACACACAACACACAACACACAACACACAACACACAACACACAACACACAACACACAACACACAACACACAACACACACACGTGCAGGTACTTGGATCACAAGGAAAAGGCCGATCCAAAAGTGCGCTTCAACATTTACGAGCGCGCTCTGCAGCAGATGCCCGGAAGGTATGGGTGTCTGGCATACGCAGCATACCTGTCGCCCTTATGTGCATGTGTTTGATACCGGCCTCACTTCTCATGGTGTCTCGTGTCTGTGGTCTCGTCTTCACTGCCACGATCGCTCATGCCCTTTCCCCGACATGGTTTGTGCACGCTTGCGTCCTCTTCCTGATTTGCTTTTGTCTGCAGCTACAAGCTGTGGTACCGCTACCTTGCCGAGAGGCGAACGTATGCGCAGCGCTTCCCGCCCACGCACCACACGCGCGACGCTCTGGAAGAGACGTTCGTGCGCGCACTCGCGTACATGCACAAGGTCTGCCCTGTTGTTCATGATGTGTTGCAGGTTGCACGTTGGGCGTGATTGTGTGTCTTTCATGCACGTGGCTTCGACTTCTGTTGACCAGGCACACGATCACGTGCACTTGTACAATCTCCACACATCGTTGCCGCTTTCCTTGCTCATACACGTTGACGTGTTCGTGTGTGTTTGATGTGTGTGTGTGTGTTGTGTGTTGTGTGTGGTTTGTGTGTTGTGTTGTGTTGTGTGTGCAGATGCCACGGATCTGGCTGGAGTATCTCGAGGCGATGATGGAGACAGGCAAGGTGACAGCAACACGCCGCGCCTTTGACGAAGCCCTCAGGGCGCTCGCCATCACGCAGCACCACCGCATCTGGCCCCTCTACCTGCAGGTCTGTCGTCATGATGATGGTGTTCATGATGATGGCGACAGTGATGGTAGAATCTTCACAACTGCGCGCGCGTATGTACGTGGATACAAGTATGGTTGAAGTTTGGACTTGTTTTCGTGTGTATGTGTGTGTGATGTTGCTGCGTGTCTCACTGCTCTCCGCCCTGCCACGATGCGTGCGTGTTTGATGTGTGATGTGTGGTGTGCAGTTTGTTCGCTCCATCAACGTGCCTGAGACGGCTGTTCGTGTGTACCGCCGCTACCTCATGGTCAGTCCCCACTGCTCCGTAACGTGATTCATGCATCTGTGGTGTGCGTGAGAGAGAGAGAGTGTGTGTGTGTGTGCGTGTGTGTATGTGTGTGCGTGTGTGAGTGTGTGCGTGTGTGAGTGTGTGAGTGTGTGAGTGTGAGTGTGGTGTGTGCGTGTGTGTATGTGTGGTGCGTGCGTGCGTGTGTGTTTGTGTGCTCCGTGCACTTTGGCTGCGTGTACACGCGATGCTGAGTTGTCATACATTTCCTGACTCTGCGCGTGCGCATGTGTATGTGTTTGCAGGTCGAGCCTGAGGATGCGGAGGAGTATGTCGACTACCTCATCTCCATCAAGCGATTCGACGAAGCAGCAACACAGCTCGCACAGGTGCACACACACACATACACACACACACATACACACACAAACACAGCTGTGATGTGTGCTTTCAGTCTCGTCATGTTTCAATGACAGGTTTTCCCTGTATTCGCCACTCCTTGCTCACATTGTTGCGCTCACGCCATGGCACCCGTGTTCCTGCTGGCTGCAGATTGTGAACAAGAACCGGTACAAGAGCAAGCGGGGCAAGTCGAACCACCTGCTGTGGGTGGAGCTCTGTCAGCTCATCAGCAAGCACCCAGAACACATCCACACCCTCAGGGTAAGTGGACACTGTATGTGTATGTGCAGGCGCTGGTCGCTGTTTCGTTTGTGCTACTTCCCACGCATGTACATGTACATGTAAACGCACACGTCCATGTTCACGAGCACTCACATTCCACCACATTGCATCAATCGCACATATATACACAATCACACACACACACACACAATACACAATACACACACACACACACAATACACAATACACACACGTGTGCAGGTTGAGCCGATTATCCGGGGCGGACTGCGGCGGTACACGGACATGATCGGGTCACTCTGGTGCTCGCTCGCAAACTACCACATCCGAAGCGGAAACTTTGAGAAGGTGTGCTGAGGCTTTAGGCCCTTTTGTTCGTCTGCCTCCCCTTGTTTGTTTGTTTGCTGGTGTGCTTTCTGTTTCTGTATGTGTGTGTGTGTGCGTGTGCTATTGTATTACTCTTTGATGTGTGCATGCTTCTGCCACGTGTCAGCCACACATGTCCTCTCTGCCACCACCACCATCCACACCATTGTCGCTCAATCCCCCCAACATCACCGCCATGCGTCAGGTGCGGGACATTTACGAGGAAGGGCTGGCGGCTGTCAGCACCGTCCGCGACTTTAGCGCCATCTTCGAGGCATACGCCGAGGTACCCAGCACCACACACTGCTGCTGCTGCTTGGCTCTTGTTTCCTTGAGCGCTGTATGGGTTGCATTTGCATTCGCATGTGTGTGTGTGTGTGTGTCCCGCGTGCGAGCTTTGCGCGCGTGTTTTGTTGCATTCCGATCGTTAACGTCCGTCCTCGAACGATTGTCGTGCTCAGTTTGAGGAGACATCGCTCAACGCCATGCTTGAGGACGAAGAGCAAGGTATGCACATATCTGCTGATCCACCAACCTGCCCATCACGTCCACCACGACGTTGTGTTTTGCTACATCTCGTGCGCCAGCCACCACCCACTAATGACCAATCATCACTGACCAATCATCACTGACCATCCACCAATGGCCGATCGCCAATCGCTCACCACTGACCCTCCTGTCTCGTCCACCACGTGCGGCGTGTAGACGAGGTTGAGCTTGAGCTGCGGATGGCGCGGTATGAGAATCTGATGGAGCGACGGCCGCTTCTCCTCAGCAGTGTCCTCCTGCGCCAGAACCCGCACAACGTCGACGAGTGGCTCAAGCGCGTCATGCTGTTTGAGGCATCGCCAAAGGAGGTCAGCACACCTCCATGCTGTGGCTGTGGATGGTGTCCCTGCTGCGGTTGCGTTTGTGCGTTTGTGCGTTTGTGCGTTTGTGCGTTTGTGAACACCTCCGTTTTGTGATTGTGCCATCGTGTGACCCAAATGCGCGCTTGATGCGTTTACTCCTCACCGCCGCCGCGCCCTCACCAATCACGGCCCCAAACCACCAACCACCAACCACCAACCACGACCCCGCACCAACCCCCATTACCACCACGGTTCCATCAGATGATCCGCACGTTTACGGAGGCGGTGCAGACGATTGACTACCAACAGGCGGTGGGCAAACCGCAGCAGCTGTGGATTGAGTTTGCAAAGCTCTACGAGTCAAACCAGCAGCTCTCCCAGGCGCGCGCCGTCTTTGATCGCGCCGTCCAGCAACCCTTCCGCAAGGTACACACACACACACACACAAGCATACACACGCTTGTTCTGCTTGCTTATTTCATTCGTTTTGTTTTGAATTTGTTTGCTGACTATGCTTGCTTGTTTTGCCCCTGGCTGTCAAGAACTGTGCCCGTCTGCATCTTTTTATCCCTCCTCTTTCTTCATGTGTGCATGCACCACGACACCACAACATCTCTCGCTGCCATTGCTCATTGCGCCTCCTGCTGCTGTGTGCTGCTGCTGCTGCTTCTCAGGTTGACGACTTGGCCGACGTGTGGTGCGCATTCGCTGAGATGGAGATCAGGAACAAGTGCGTTTGTAACCCCCTGCTCCTGTTCGCGTCTGCTGTTTGTCTTTATCAAGTCACACGCGCACCGCGCGCATACACACACACACACACACACACACACACATTTGCTTGCATGGATGCTCATGTTTCATTCCACGTGTTGACGTAACAGGAACTACAAGCAAGCACTGTCGCACCTTCGCCGGGCCACGCACGTGCCATCACGCAAGAAGGCGGCAGTGGACAACAACAGCGTGCAGATGCGCGTGCACCGTTCCCTCAAGCTCTGGTCCATGTACGCCGATCTGGAGGAGTCGCTCGGCACCTTTGAGGTGCGGCCCCGGATCGTGGGCACTGCGAACAGCATGCGTGTGTGTATGTGTTTGTATGTGTACGTATGTGTGTGTGTGTTTGTGTGTTTGTGTGTTTGTGTGTTTTCTTTGTGCATGTGTGTGTGTGCGGTGATGCCGATGCCACGAGCGGCAACTCGCAAGAAGTTGATCTTTCTCTCTCTCGCGTTCACACACACACACACACACACAACATGCACGTCTTCAGACGACCAAGGCGGTGTACAACCGCATGATTGAGCTGCGTGTGGCCAATCCACAGACCATCCTCAACTTTGCGTCGTTCTTGGAGGAGCACAAGTACTTTGAGGAGGCGTTTTCCGCCTATGAGAAGGGCCTGGGCCTGTTCCGCTGGCCTGTCGTCTACGAAATCTGGAACGTTTACCTCACCAAGTTCATTCAGCGTTATGTACGTGGGCTTGTTGATGGGCGCTCATGTGTGCCGACGCGTTTGTGATTCTCTCAACCTGGTCTAAAATGTCTGATTTCATCTTTTTTCGTTTGGTTTCCTCACACACACACACACACACACATACACACACACACACACACACACATACACATACACACACACACACATACACAGGGCGGCCGCAAGTTGGAGCGCACGCGCGAGTTGTTTGAGCAGTGTCTTGCGCACGTGCCGGACAAGTTTGCAAAGGTGCTCTACCTCAAGTACGCCCAGTTTGAGGAGGTTCGTTTGCCGCTTGAACATTGGGCTCTGGATTTTATTTAGCATGCTTGCGCCGCGTTCCTCGTGTCTGTCTCCATGTTGCGCCTGCATTCCGCTACTCTGCTGCTGCTGCTGCTGCTCTCTCTCTCTCTCTCCACACACACACACACACACACACACACACAACACACAACACACACATACACACACATATACACACCCTCCCTCAACCTCCGCGTATCCGCGTCTCACGATGCTGCTACTGCTGCTGCTGCATGCACTCACCAACAGGATCACGGTCTCGCCCGTCACGCCATGGCCGTGTACGAGCGCGCCACCAAGGCCGTCCGCAAGCCCGAGCGATACGAGGTGCGTTAGTGTGTGCTGTTGTGTGCTGTATGTGTGTGATGTGTGTGGTGTGTGTGTGTGTGTGATGTGTGTCATGTGCTCGTGTCGTGGAGGCGTGCGTGTTTACTCGTTTCTGCTGTCATTTCTGCTATCTATGTGTGTGTATGTGTGTGCATGTGCGCTGTGTTTTGTAGCTCACTTGGTGACCGGTACGCTTCGCGTTGTACTTCTTCTCAGATGTGGCAACTGTACATCAAGCGTGCTGCCCACATCTTTGGCGTGACGCACACACGCGCTCTGTACGCCAAGGCGCTTGAAGACGACCACCTTGCAGGTATCGTCAACTGACCACCTACTGCCTGGGCACATTGAGAACTGCGTGGCATGCTGCTGTGCTTGCAGGCGTTTTGCCCATTTGCGGATGCCGTTCCTGTTCTCACTTACTTGATGTCCTTGATTCTCATTCACTGGACACATCCCAATGCACACACACACACACACACACACACACACACACACACACACACACACACACACACACACACACCACAAACGCCTGCGTTTCTATGCCTCATTATCTTTCTTTTCCGCCGCCGCCGCCCCCTCTCTCTCGCTGTGTGCGCATGCGTGTTGCAGACAAGGACACGCGTTCGATTGCGCTGCAGTTTGCGAGTCTTGAGACGAAACTCGGCGAGATTGACCGTGCCCGCGCCATCTACTCGCACGCGTCGCAGGTGGCTGACCCGCGGTCCGCCAACAAGTACTGGTCTGCCTGGAACGATTTTGAGGTGCGCCACATTGGTGTTTGTTGTGTTTTGTTTTGGGGATGAGGGGTGAGTTGTTGTGTGCACATGTGGCACCTGTCTGTATGGTCGTGTTGTGGCGTTGACATGAGCACGACGTGTCTCTCAATTTGGAAAGTCGAGGCCACACACGTGTTCACCCGTCTCTTATTGCGCCCCTCCCACCCAACACACATCCCATGATCAGGTTCGCCACGGCAATGAAGACACGTTCCGTGAGATGCTTCGCATCAAGCGGAGTGTGGCGGCGCAGTTCAACACTGCCGCCAACACGTCTGTGTTCCGGGCCGCCAGCGACGCCAGCAAGACGCGACCCAAGACGACGGCGGCACAGGACAACGCCATGGCCGCTGCGGAGGAAGAGGTATGCGGGTGTGCGGGTGTGCGGGTGTGCTGTGCTGGTGTGCTGCATATTCGTTTGTATTTGTACGTTCGTCTGCAACTGTCGCGTTTTGTGTTGCTCTGTGCTTGGTAGCCTGTTTTGGTGTGTCATTGTGTTTGTTGTTGCATGTATTGGAGTGTTTCTGCTTCCCCCTCCCTCATGTATGTTGCTGTGCTGCGTCGTGTTGTTGCGGTAACAGGCGTCACGCAAGCAAAGCGCCAAGGAAGGGCTTGCTGTTAAGTTTGTTCGCTCCACCGAGGAGAAGAGCAAGAACACCGATGAGATTGCCCTTGACGACGACGACGACGACGACGATGATGAGGAGGATGCGGACGTGGCCTCGGGCAAACCACGACAAGGTGTGTGTGTGTGTGTATGTGTTTCAGAGTGTAGCTCGCAGATGCGTCGAAGTGTGTGTGTTCGTCGCCTGCGAGGTGCTCGAGTCAGCCCATTGCACGACCTCACCCCTCCCCCCTCCACTCCATCGTCATCATGGATATCGTTGCAGAGATCCAAGAGCGGCCTGTGCCGGAGCAAGTGTTTGGTTCCCTTGTGGGGGCCAAGGCACGCTTCCAGCAGGCGAGCGAATGAGCACCGTGCAGCACCAGCCACTGCGCTCATCCACATGCTGCTCCCTGCTGTTTGTAGTCGTGGTTTGTTCGTTTTCGCGTGTCTGTGTTTGTGTGCGTGTGTGTTCGCGCGCGTGCGTCTGTGCGTGTTGTATGCGTTCATCATGGTTCATTCAACGTGCAATACCACGTGGCGAAACAAATACACAAGTGTATCTTGCACAGCAAGGGCTCACTTAAACCAGAGAGAGGATAGTCAATCGAAAGGGGACGAGACAAAGTGGGGGCGGAGGCGCCGAAAGCTTGGATAGCACACACACACACACACACACACACACACACACACACACACACACACACACACACACCACATCTGTCACGGATGACAATGACGAACGCTGGCTCATGCTTTTGGTGTTTCCAGACGATGATTCGTGTTCACAAGGCGAAGAAGGGACGCAGATGAGCAACGTCACGGCGGGCAGGACAAGGCAAGGAGGGGGGAGAGCACACGTGCTGGGCCACACTCAAATCGAAAAAAGGAAGAAAGAAAGAGGACGGAAAGAAGAAGAAGAACAAGACGCAAGCAGGGGAGGCAGGCATGTTCTTGGGTCAGAACAGGATCAGGTCAATCATAGAGAGTCAAGTGGCAGACGTAATCCATTACGGGGATCAAACACACGGAGAAAAGGACTTGCAAAGAGGAGGCTGGGGCGAGGCAAGAGGGGCGTGTGCGTTCGTTCAATGTGGCCACGGCAACAAGGAGCAACAGAAGGGAAGAGACTGCACCGCACATCAGAGATTGCAGAATAACTGCGCGCGACAGGCACATGCAAAAGAAAGCACAGCCCGACACATACGACACCACGACACCACGAGTCATTGGTGATGATAATGACCATGATAGTGTTGTTGTTGATGATGAAATATCAACCATGTACGAAAGTGCGTGTGCAGGCACACACACACACACACTTGAAGAAACCAGCACACACACACACACACACACACACACACACACACACACACACACACACACACACACACACACACACACACACGAGGGCGAGGGTAGATACACGCAGTGCAGCAAGTCAAGGCGTGCGCGACTGTGACCATCAAGAAACACAGAGGGAGACGAACCAAGGGGAACGCCAAAGGAAAAGCGGGAAGAGGAGAAGGAGGAGAAAGGAAAGGGGGGGGGGGCCGAACCTAGTGTAAAAAAGCAAAGAAGATGTACGTGTGAATGGCGTCACAGGACAGCAACATGGGTGACTTGTGCAACGATGCACGTAACGACATGGAAGCAACTCATTCAGGGTTCCCATCGCAGCCATGGCTACGAATGCTGCAGTTGCTTTGACGCGGATGATGACGATATGGGTGGCGGCGCCTGGTGTGTCAGTTGTGATTGACACGTTTGCGACGGGCGCTTCGGTGTCAATGTGGGTGTTGCAAGCGGAGACATGGTTGCGTTGGAGAGGGTGGGCGACACGGACGCTTGTCGACAGACGTCTTGCTGGTCATCCTGGGTCCGCGGCTCATCATCTCCCTGCTGCTGCTGGTGGTGGTGCTGCTGGTGTTGTTGTTGCTGATGCTGCTGTGGTGCGACGTGTTGCTTGCGCAGGCTGTGGGCGAGCGCAGTGATGGCCTCATGCATGCCTGCCCGCTTGCATTGGTCGAGTGCCTGGTCGATGGGGACCCACTTTCTCGTGCGGAAGTTTGCCTCTGGCCACTCATCAAGCATGCTTGACACCTGCAGGGCAAAGTAGCGATGTCTTTGGGGCCCGCTCTTGCCCATGTACTCACAGTCGACCAGGCAAGCGCCGACTGCGCCAAGGACGCCGGCTTCCTCGTATGCCTCGCGTGCGGCTGCCTCCGTCTCTGTCTCGTCGCGCTCCCAGCCGCCCTTGGGGATGATCCACTTGTCCTTCTTGTGGTTTGTGATGAGCATGACCTCTGGGGTCCCTGTGTGTGTGCGGTAGGGGACGCATCCGGCGACGAGGCGTGTGCCGTTGCATTCGTAACGCTGGTTGTCGCGGCCAACGCGAGCCGGTGGCTGGTCTGGAAACATGCAAGTCGCCAGCACCTTTGCCGTGGCGCTGGTTGTTGTGGTCGTCATGTCGCTTCTTGTTGTAGTCGTCGTCGTCGTTGTTGCTGTTGTTGTTGGCGGTTGTAGGCGTTTCTGTTGCTGTAACAAGAGGAGACCTCACGTGGACGACTGGCTGATCAAGTCGTGGGCTGCGGTCTGGAGCGTGAGCAGGGTAATACAAGTGTGTTTATGTGTGTGTGTTTGTGTGTGCGGGTGATGCGAAAAGTGCATGAGATGTGAATGGCAAGAAAAGAGCATGCTCGTGCCAATCACACACACACACACACACACACACACACACGCACGCACACACACACACACACACACACACACACACACACACACACACACAACGTATTCATGCACGCGCGCACGTACACATTGACGTCGCGCACGAGCAAGGCATGCGCTTCCCCCGCCCCTCCATCCACCCCGTTGTCTCCCTCATCAAACCAAAACAAGCACCACAAGCAAGGCCACAAACCGCGTTGAGTCGTTGGGTGTGATCGCTGCTGTTGTGGGGAAGTGCGTGACGTGATGATGTGATGTGATGTTGACAACGTGCTTGAGGTGTGAGAGCAGAAATAGACTGCCCACCGCAAGAAGAAGACTGGAGGTACTTGTGTGGGGGGGGGGGAAGGAGGAAGCGTGGGAGTTGTAGGATACGTGGATGATGAGAGAGGGAAGCAAAAGAGTGATGTGTGATGACTGCCGACCGGCAGACGTTGGTTGGTGGATGACAGGCACGGGCGCGCGGTTGCTCACTCTCTCGTTGGCGCCACAAATGACCACCACCAACAACAGGGCACACCAAGCACAACCGAAGGAGGAGGAGAATAAGAAGAAGAACAACAACGCACACAACACAAGAAAAAAAAATTTCCAGCACCAACACACGCGCGCACGTCGTTGCCTCGCCATTCGTCCTGCCTCCCAAGGGAAAATTGGCCAAATTTTCAACTGATTTGTCTATTCACCGATGTTGCGAGCGCACATGACGAAACGCAAGTCGCCCACAAGAGGCAAGCAAGAAGCAAGGAAGACAAAAGTCACGCACGCATCCCCTCACAACACACACACTCTCTCCCTTCTCCCCCCTCTCTCATCATTCTCCTTGTCTGTGTTGGTCGGTAGTCCACTACTGCAACAGTCGCATAGCCAAAACAAAGAAGAGCCACTCCATCCTCATCCCAACCCTGCTGGTACAACCAAAAGAAAACCACAAAAACAAACCACACAAACAAAACCACACAAACTGTGCCGAACAAAGACATGTCAAATCGCACGCACGAGCCAGCCTATCGTGCTGGGTATGACACGATGACGTAGCACATGCACCCTGCTTCGGTTGCTACCTGCACCATCAGAGCCAGGGGGCGTCCACTGGAGACAGGGAGCCGATGGCGTGGTGGTGGTTGGCAACACGCATCCAGTGGTGCACCACGCGGCTGCCTCGCACGTGCATGAGCGACGAAATGCTGGCCAGAATCTTCTTCTCGTTGTCAGCGATGAGCGCAAGCAGGGCCTTGTTTGACAGCACGTCTGGGGTGAACGGCGCAAGCGACATGGAGCTCCAAAAGATGAGGTGATCTCGCAGCATCGCCGTCAGGAAAAAGTGCAGCTGCAGGTGACACACGGCAGTGGTGGTGATGGTGGTGATGGTGGTGGTGGTGGTGAGGAGGAGGAGGTGCACGGTGGGGGAAAAGCAACTCAAGAGAGGGGAGCGTAAACACCCTTTGAATGCATGTGGAGTCTTAACACACCAATGGAAGAGAGCAGACAATGCACCGTTGTAAACAGCGAGTTCAGCGACACAGGCAACAAACGCCGTGAGCACACAACGAAGCAAAAACACCCTCATTGCAGACTCGCCAACCTTGAACTCAGTCTTGGAGATGATGGATGCAAGGGCGTGGATGCACGCGCAGAACGGGATGAAGATGTTGCGGCTGCCAAGCAGCGTGGTGATGTTTGGCGTGATGCGCGGGACAGCCGGTGCAAGCAACAAGCCAGTCTGCCGATCAACTCTGTTGTGCGTGGAAGCGCAGAAGGGAGGGGGGGGGTTGGCGTGGCGGTGGTGGTGGTGGTGGTGGTTGCAGTTGTGGTGGGTCAGAGTGTGCCACAAACGATAGGGCAAACAGCGCAGCTCACACTGGGGCAGACGTAGAAACAGAGCTATAAACAAACAGACAGACAGACAGATTGGCAGAGAGGGGCACACACGCACACAGACAGACAGACAGACAGACAGACCGACAGGCACACACACACACACACACACACACACACACACACACACACACAACAGAAACAAGTAAACAAAGCACGTAAACAGACGCACTACGCACCGCTGGTCGAGGCTGTAGGGCTCAATCTCGCCCGTGGGCAAGCAAAAGCGCATGGTCTCTGGGCCAGCAAGCTTGAGCGAAAGCACAAACCACGTGAAGCAGTTCACGGCAAGGTGCGACTGGAAGTGCTTGCGGAAGAGCCAGAAGCCCGAGAGGTCCGGGAAGCGGCGCAGGGCGTACTGCTGCAGACAGTAGTTTGGCACAAAGCGGCGCGCTACCTGCGCATACGCGTCCTCCTTGAACGCGCGGTCGAATGGGCGGCCAGTCTTCAGGTGCTCAATGTACAGCTCGAGCAGCCGCTTGACAGGGTCCTCCCGGTGGATGTTGTGGCGCGCGCGATACACGTCGTACACCGCATCCAGCGACACAATGTCGTCCTTTTTCTGTTTGAGGGAAAAGGATGTGCATACGTGTGTGTGTGTTTTGTGCGTGTGTGCGTGTGTGCGTGTGTGTGCGTGTGTGTGTGTGTGAGGGAGAGAGGAGAGGAGCGGCGATGCAACAAGCTAACGGCACCACGAAAACAAGCGAACAAGGCGGCTACGAGCACATGAACATGTTCATAGACGCGCACCTCAGCCAGGAAGACGCCTCGTGAGAGGGTCCAGATGCGAGGGAGGTACATGACCAGGCCACGCTCGCGGGTTTCCTTGCACCGGGTGTACATCATGTTGGTGATGCGCAGGAGATGCCGAATTCGTTGTTCTGTTCGGCCGTCGCCGTTTCGCAGCGAGAACATGTGTTCCTACACGCGCACATCCACACAAAGGGGTGAGAAAAGGTGATGCTGAAATAGGGAGGAGAGCGCAGTGCACGCAAATACAAGCACGTGTACCCAGCAAGTCACGCCACGTGGGCACACCGCCACGTGAGCATAAAACATATACACACACATACACACACATACACACACACATACATACATACATACATACACACATACATACATACATACATACATACATACATACATACATACATACATACATACATACATACATACATACATACATACATACATACATACATACATACTACATACACACACACTCGTAACAGACCTTGCCGTCTGAGCCACGAATCCAGATGTGCATGGCGTACTCTGGCCCTTCAACAGATGTGGCCACAAACGGAAGGAAGCGGTCAATCTTGATGGAGTTTTGTCTGCAAGTTGCGAGCAGAATCACCGAGCGTGTGAGGAAAACAAGGGACAGACAATGTGAGACACAAAAACCATACGCCTCCATCCCTTTCAATGATTAGCGGAAACAGAATTGAGGTCAGGACGGCCACAGAAACAAAACGAAGCTTTACTACCACACACACCCCGCTTCGCTGTCACGAGTGCTTTCGAACGTGCAGTGCTTACGGGCTGATTTCGGCGCCGAGGAAGTCGTCAACGTGCTGCCCGGGCACCTCCAGATCACGCAGCTCCAGCCCGGGGGAGCTCAGGAACGTCGAGTACTGCACGCCCCGCAGCAAAAGGTGAAGAAGAAGAGGGCGTGGGAGGGCGTCAGCGAGTGGTATGGTTTCAGAGATTGGTCGAAGGGGAGGTGCGGAGCAGCAGCCGACACACAGCACAGAAAAAGCACGAACGTATCTACGCACAGGCACATAGACACAGACACACACAGACACACACACACAGACACACACACACACACACACACAAGATCCGCAAAGAGAGGATACCTTGGACAGCGTGCTAAGGACGCGATTGCGGTGCTCGACGAGCGGACGCAGCATATGCAGGTGGTACAGCAGGGACTTCATCACGTCAATCGACCCCATGCTCAACATGGGACGGAGCACCGTCTCGGAGAACGCCGGGTCGAGGCGGCGGAAGTGCGCGGCCTTTCGCGTCAGCAGCGGGCCAATGTCCGGTGTGTGCTGGCTCTTGAGCGTCTCAAGTGTCACACCATTCTCAATGTGCGCAAAGAGGTGGCGCAGGTGGACAACAAACAGCATGGCGCATGCGCTGTACTTGGCGAGGAGCAAGCGGGAGGTGAGCATCTGTGTGAGGTCCTCTGAGAAGCGGCGCAGCGCCTCAAACGCCTCAGGTCGCCGCGTGCGCAGCGTCGTGTACATCTTGGTCAGAACCGCATTCGCTCGCTGCACACGCAACACGCAAAAATTGTGACAACGGGTGCGGTTGTTCGTGTGTGTGTGTGTGTGTGTGTGTGTGTGTGTGTGTGTGTGTGTGTGTGTGTGTGTGTGTGTGTGTGTGTGTGTGTGTGTGTGTGTGTGTGCGTGCGTGTGTGTGTGTGTGTGTGTGTGTGTGTGTGTGTGTGCGTGCGTGCGTGCGTGTGTGTGTGTGTGTGAATACATGGGCGCACGTCAATGCAAATGCAAATTTAAAACTTCAGGAGGAAAATGAGCATGTACATGCATGCGCAAACACCCCCTCCGCCCCTCCCAATTCACACACCAGCAATGTACACCAATACACACATACACCTGCACACTCACACACCTTGAGGATAATCTGGGAATTGCGGCGCTTGAGTGCCTCTGCCTTTCGCTTCGCCTCCTCCGCTGCGGCCTCGGCTGCATCGCCGTCGCCGTTGTTGCTTGTCTTGGGCCGCTTTGTGCGCTGGTCGTACTCGTTCTGGTGCTGCATGAAGGAGCGACACTGCTGCGCAACACCGTAGAACGTGCGTAGGTTGTGGAACATGAGGTCTGAGCAGTGCTTGGTGACCCTCATGAGAACGTGCTGCACGTACTCGGCCTCTGGTCGGAAGATGCACGTCATCAGCTGCGGCAGCCAGCACTTCCACACATTCGCCTCAACCACCTCCGCATACTTCTGGAACATCTGCACACCCGCCACCCCATCCGCCGCAAACACGGGGAAACAAGTCGTGAGGACAGCGCACGAGCAGCGGAGCAGCGGTAAGAGAGCACAGACAAACACACGCATACGCAGACACACACGCGCATACACAGAGAGACAGATATATGGACACACAGACACACAGACACACATAGACACGCACACACATAGACACGCACGCACATAAAAACGCACACACAGACACACTTAGACACACGCACACACACATACATACACTCACACACACACTCACTCACACACACACACACTCACACACAAACACACTCACTCACACACACACACACACACAGAGACACAGACACAGACACAGACACAGACATACACACACACAACGGCGACGCACCTCCGAGACCGAGGAGCCGTCGCCCTCTGAGAGGAGCGTAAAGACGCGGGCCATAAGCTTCTGCGCAGGGAAGCGGCGGTCACCGGCGGTGTGCAGGCGCAACCCCGTCATCAAGCATGACATGGTGGCTCGTGCCCACTTCATCACCTTCTCCTCCAGTTCACGCACCGCCGCCTCGCTTGGTGGCCGCGCGTCACCACCACCTGTGCTCCTTCCGCTCTTGCCCTTGCCCTTGCCCTTGCCCTTGCCCTTACCGCCAGCTGTTGTGTGGCTGCGCTTTGTGGGGGGCTCGCCATCATCATCACCATCATCACCATCACCATCATCGCCACCACCATCGCCATCACCATCACCATCATCATCATCATCATCATCAGCTTCACTGTCACCTTCACCTTTGCTTGTCTTCTTCTTGCTGTCAGCGCCAACATTGAAGTCACTTCCAAACAGTGAAGCCTGCAACTTGAGGGTGCTCAGCGTTGACGGCAGAGCCTCCTTGCTCTCGCCACTGCCCTCTGGCTTCATACCCTCCGCTGCTGCGCCTTCACCTTCTGTGGTTGTCGTTGCTGCTGCTGTTGTCGACGACGCGGGCGCCGTGGCATCACCACCAGCAGGTGTCGCACTGGCCGTTCCACCCTCCTGGCCTTGCTGCTGCTGCTGCTGCTGCTGGCCATCGCTTCCCTCCTGGCCTTGTTTGCTCTCTGTGCCACTGTCCTCCTGCTTCACCACGACAGGCGGTTGCTCGTCGCTCTGCTGCGTGTCGCCACCAGGCTGGGTGCTGGTGGTGCTGGTGCTGGTGCTGCCTTCCTGCCCACCGCTGGCGTCTGCAGGTGGGAGAGGATGCGTGCGTCGGTACTTGCGCAGGCGTTCCTCTTCACGAAGCAGGCGCTCCTTGCAGTAGTACGTCATGGTGTCGCAGAAGTATGTCCACAGCTCCCACAGCGTGGCCACGTTCGGGCTCATGTGCCCCGCGGCAAGGAACAGCATGTGTGCCTCCTCAAGGTCGCCCGCGTTGTGCAGGGCATCCGCCTTGAAGGCAAACAGCTCAGTGCACTGGTCCATGGAGAAGTGGGACATGTTCACCGTGTCAAACAGCGCCAACGTCTCCTGCGGCGTGCGGGATGGCAGCTCGCGCTCGCATAGGAACAGCTCACGCGCGCGCACAAACAGCTCCTCGACACACACGTCTGGCAGAGCCTCCACCTGCTGCAGGCGTCGGTGGCACACGGACCGCAGCCGCTGCAACTGCGCGATGCGCGCGAGCTGGTTCAGGATCTTTGCAATGTGGTCGTTGGGCGTGCGCGAGCCAGGCAGCTGGAGGCCAGCCTCGTCCACACGCTTGAACACGAGCAGCCGCCAGAGCAGCAGGTCGTCCCATTGCGTGATGTCGACCCAGCTGTTTAACCGGCGGGCCTTCCACGCGTGGATCACCTCGTGAATCTCGTTTGCAGACGAGCGCTTCTGGTTGTGGGGGCTGCACATGACCATCACCTTGGTTGACTCGTGCACCTCCACCATGCGCTGCGTGTCCTGCAGCAGGGGCACGTGCGCGTTGCACGCGTATGGCGGCAGCCGCTTCCACTCGCGCACCACCAGCGTCATAAAGTCGTCGTACGCCTTGTCCACCGTCGCCACGTCCACAGAGTCACCGGCAGCCAGCGCAATCTGCGCCTTGCAAATCTTCAGGCGGTGGTCCGGGTCCCGCTGCACCTCCAAGCGGGTGAGCGCCTCCGCAGCGGACTTCCACTTCTCCAGCTTGATGGCGTTGGACAGCAGCTGCTCGTCGTTCTTCGTCTCCTCGGCAAACTTGAACAGCAGGTCGTGCTCACCAAGCTTCTGCGTGCACGCAACCCACCGCTCCTCCCACAGCTTGAAGTCGCTCTCCACCAGGCTCGAGCCCTTCTTGGACATGCCCTGGATGATGTCCTCGTACGTCTCCTGCGCCTTTGCAATGTCGCCAAACGTCTCGTAGCGCAGCGCAAGCAGCGTCTCCTTCTGCGCGTAAATCGACTGGAAGCACAGCTGCTGGAAGTCGGGCTCCCGCAGCCGCCCAAACATGTCTGACAGCGCGTGCACGACGGGGTGCATGGTGCCCCTGTGCCGCCGCATCTCGTCGGAGAGCGTCACCACCGCGTTTTCCAGCATGAAGATGGCCGTGTGCCACAGGCCGCGGTGCACGGCCGCGTAGTGCAGCAGGCTCGGCGGCAGCTCCAGCGCAGGCTCGCACCGCGACGCTGCAACAATCAGCGCGTGCAGGTTGCCCTGGTCCCCGTTCTCGTTCTGGTCCAGCAGTGCCAGCTGCTCCACGTGCTTGGTGATGGCCTTCACCTGGTCCTGCCGCTTCTTCGAGTCCGGGTTGGCGTGCAGGTAGCCCCAGTACCAAGGAAACAGGTGCTGCCACAGCTTGTGCGCCAGCGCCGGCACGCTGGCCGTGAGCGAGCGCAGGAGCGACAGCAGCTTGCCCGTGGTCATGCCGTCCACCTTGCGCACAAAGGCGCGGCGCGTGGCCACGAGGTCCTTGAGCCCCGGCGGCGGCTGCATGGCCGAGTGCTCAATCTTGGCCGACGTGTACAGCGCATCAAAGTAGCGGTGCCGCGAGCAGAACATGGGCTGGTCCTCAATCACCCCGGCAAGCATCACGTCCACGCATGTCTTGACCCAGTTGGTGTCCTTGATGTGGTCCCAGCGGGCCACCGTGTTCACCATGCACGAGTCCAGCCGCAGGAAGATGTTGGTGTTGCGGTTTGGCGCGTCCATGATCTTGAAGAACTTCTCCCGCAGCTCGTCCAGAGGCACCTGCAGGCCCTGCAGGAACCCAATCTCCAGCCGCTGCACAATGTCTGGGTTGGCGCCCTGCCGGTCAGAGTACGTCTCCAGCACAAACTTGAGAAAGTCAACAAAGACATTTGTGTTCTTGAAGCGGCGAACCATGGCCAGGCCCAGGCGCCCGACAATCGTCACCTTGTCCTTGGTCGGCACGCACGTGAGCTCCTTGCTGAGCAGCCACTGCGTCACCGTTTCCATGAGGTGGCTCATCAGCGTCGTGTCCTCCGTCTTGTCCACCAGGTGTACAATGCCTGTGAGGAAGGTCTTGCGGTCGCTCTGCTCAAAGTCCTTCATCACCGCCTTGAGCAGCTTCAGCAGGAACATGAGCGTCTGCACGGCGTCTGCGCTGGTGCCCTGTGGGATGCCCTGTGTGCTGCTGCTGTTGCCACCGCCTGCCGCCTTCTGGGCCTCGAGCTTGCTGGCCTCCAGGTGGTCGCGCTGCAGCCGCTGGAACAGCCGCAGCAAGAGGTTCTTGCGTGATCTGATGTACTTCTCGTCAATGGCGCCAAACGCGTTCTGCAGCAGCCGCACGCACGGCAGAAGCACGGCGAGGGCGAGCGGCCGCTTCGTGTCCTCTGGCTCCATGGCCTCCAGCTGCTTGTGCATCAGCTCCTCGGCCTTGCCCACAAACGCAGCCCACGCCGTCACCGTCTCCTCCGAGACACCCTCGAGTTTCTTCTGGTCCTTCTCCTTGGCAAAGCGCAGCACGGCGTTGGAGAGGAGCTCAACCACGGCCGCGCTCACCTTGTGGTGGTGCACGCGCATGGCATGCAGAATCTCGTCCTGGCACGCCAGGAGGTGCTCGAGCCACATGCGCGCGGGCAGGCGGCGAATCAGAATCACCAGCACACGCAGCATGCACGCGTACAGGTGCAGGAAGCCAACGTTCTTGTTGTCCTTTGCGGCGACGTTCAGGTACATGTGCAGCTGCTCCTTGGGCAAGGGCACCGCCGCCCAGTCCGGATACGACAGCATCTTTTGCAGCAGCATGAGGAGCTTCTGCGTCCACAGGTCAATGCTGTGCAGCTGCTTCTGCAGCGAAGGCTCACGCAGCAGTGGCACCAGCGTGTGGAACACGTAGTTCCAAATCTGCGCGCGCGTCGCCGGCGAGAGCAGCTTCTTTGCGACTTGGCGAACACGCTCAATCCTGCGCCTCTTCTGCTCCTTGGCCTCCTCTTCCTCCGCCTGGCTGTTCGCCACTGCCCCAGCGTTCTTGTCGCCTGTGGTGGCAGCGGTGGCAGCCTGCGCCGTTGGCGATGACGACGACGATGCTGAGGATGCCACGGGAGATGAGGATGCGGCTTGTGCCTTGCTTGGTGTCGTCCCGGAAGCCGCCATGGCTGATGGCGATGCAGTAGTCGAGGACGACGCCGACGACTTGGCAGCACTGTCGCCTGCAGACGCTGCATGTGTGACAGGACCTGTGGCGGGCGCAGGTGTTGTCGTAGAACTTGACCCCGCACCTGTCCCTGTCCCTGAAGCCGGGCTGGAGACTGGCGGCGTCGCGGCTGCTGTAGCCGAAGCTGTGTCAGGAGGTTCGTCTTTGCCTGTGTCCATGTCCTTTTCCGTTGTTGCAGCCTCCGAAGCTTCCTTGGCGTCTGCGCTCATAGCGTCGCTGCTGCCGGCCTCCTCGGCCTTGTCTGCGGCAAGGATGTCCTCCTGCATCAGGGACGACCAGTGGAAGAACAGCTCCACGCGCTCGAGCTGCAGGCTTGGCTGCTCGTATGCCGACGCCGACGACGACGAGGCGCGCTCAATCACCGTCAGCAGCCCAGGCAGCAGCACGTGGCGTGCAGGCTCCAGCAGGTCCCGATGGATGCTCACCAGGTTGGCTGCCATTGTGCTCTTGTTGCTGCGGACGAGCATGTCGCGCAACAAGAGCACCCAGTGGCGGTGGTGGAACAGGTCGTTGGTGGTCAGCAGGCGGCTGGTGTACGCCTCCACCTCCGGGGTTTGCTCCGTCACATCAAAGTTGATGACCGACGTCCAGTCCTGGATACTCACGTTGACATACTGGCCCGGGTCGTCCACCACGGCCTCTGGCGGCTCCAGCGTCGGCATGACCACGTGCGCCAGCTCCAGCGCCATGCGGGCGAGGTCGCGGCCGTGTATCTGTGCGTTGTCCATGAGCAGGACGTAAAGACGGCGGGCAAGCGGCAGGTCACGCATATCCAGCCCGCGGATGAGCGAGAAGCCCGCGTGGATGATCCAGCACAGCACAGGCGATGCTGTGGAGTGCGTGTGGGCGGAGGAGTCGAGCAGGCGGCGGATGATGTCGACCAAGTCGGGGTGGAACGGCTTGAGCATGGGCCGCACGGCAGGGTACCGGTGCGCGCCCTCGCCAATGGCAACGAGCAGCTCAGACACGGCGCCCTTGAGCGAGTCTGGCCACGCGTCGATGCGCTTGTCCAGCAGCATCTTGACAATTTCGCCCATGACGCCTGGGTTGCCGTCCGTGGGGCCAAGCAGCTCCACGGCCTCGCCCTTGGCCAGCGCGTACGCGATGTTCGGTATCAGGATCTTGTGGACCACCACATCCTACACACACCCACAACAAAAGTAGTTTGAGTGAGTGAGTGTGATTGTGTGAGTGAGTGTGTATGTGCACAGGCGTGAGTGAGTGTGTGTACATGTGTGGGTGAGTGAGTAAGCGAGCGAGTGAGGGCAGCCACAGTTTGAAATTGGACAGAATTATACAGTCATGTGGTGCTGGCCTAGCTTCACTTTCGACAATGTGGTGCACACAAACCTGGATATCCTGCAAGTGCTTGATATAGACGGGGAGCGGGTGGGTGACACCACGGCAGCAGCGCATCAACAAGAACCGCCGCGCTTTCAGCGAAAACGTCTCCGGCACATCCGTTGCAAAGAAGTTCTGGGCAAGGTGTGGCAATCGCGTGCGTTACGAGAGTGCGTGCGTACGTGCGTACGTGTGTGTGTGTGTGTTTGTGCATAAGGGCAAGGAGAGGGCGAAGAGACAAAAACACGGTCGCTACAACAATAGACGGCAGTCACGTGATTACTCCTCATGCAAGGAGTGCATCTCACCAGGAGGAGGGAGAGGTCCATGATGGATTTGGTGGTTGGGCTGAGGATGGGAAGCAGCTCGAAGATGAGCGCCATGTCGTCGTCTGTCAGACCGTCCCGGTGTGCGCTCAAGTGCCGCATGAACAGCTTGATCAGCATGCGCGGATCGTTCAGCCGGTTGGGCTCCATGATCGTCACAGATGGCAGCCAAACTGTGTGTGGGAGTGTGAATGTGTTTGTGTGTATATGTGTGTGAGTTGCATGATCACAAAAGCGAACAATCGTGGAGGAGGAAATCATGGCACACCCACACGCGCAAACAAAAACAAAAAAAAAAACCCCCACACAAACAAACAAACAAACACACCCACTCACGCGCGTACAAACACACACACAGACACACAGACACACGCACACAATAAAATACTCACGCACCACACACATAAATAATCAGACACACGCATGCACACACAAACTCACGTTTCATGTACTTCCAGAGGTCGACGATGGTCTTGTAAATGTCGTAGTTCTTGTGCAAAAAGGTTGGATCGAAGCCCATGTGCGTGTAGATGCAGGCCGTGACAGCAAAGGCAATGGCAGACGAGTCAATCTGCACCTTGAGGTCGTTTGCGGTACACAGCGCCTTGCGGCATGGTTCATACACGCGGCGATAGAGCTCGGGACCAAGGTCCTTAAACGCCGCCCGCACGTTGGGGGCATCTTCACACTGCAGCACATACATGAGCAGATCGCACGCGTTTGGCGAGGAGATGTGGTTGAGGAACCACGAGAGGAACATGTCTGCGTGGCAGTTGCAAAAGTATGCCACGGCCTCGCGAACGGGGCTGGAGGCAAACTGTCCAAGCACCATCTCGCAGTTGACCACCGCATCAAGCAGCTTCGAGGGAATGTCCTCTGACAAGGCAGGTATTTGTTGTTTGAGTGTGTGGGTGTGTGCATGTGAGCATGTGAGCATGTGAGTAGGTGGGGTGATGGTGTCAGCTTCATGCAGCGTGGAAGGGGGTGCGGCAAGCCTCAATGTCCACACAACAACACAAATAGAGGGACCATTCGATCAACACACACACACACACACACACACACACACACACACACACACACACACACACACGCACACACACACACACGCACAAGCAACACACACACACACACGCACACGCAACACACACGCAACACACACACACGCACACGCACACACACGCAAGACACATGCACACACACACGCACACAGTGCTTTGATGATGCTTACGGTCGATGTTCTGCAGGTGACCGAAGATCTTGAGCAGCCAGACGGCGTGTCTGCTCTTTGGGTTCTCGAGCCAGCTTGGGCTGGACGACATCATGTCCTCCACAATCACTTGGAACGTCTTCTCCAGGTGCTGCCACAGCAAGTTCGCTGCAGCGTTGACACGGCGCGGTGTGCAACCACAGTGACGGCAGGTCAATAAATAGAGGGTGAGCTGTGAGCACATGTGGACACGAGACAAAGAGATTGCGCAGGCAGCTGTGTGTGTGTGCGTACGTGCGTGACGGGGGTACGCACAGACGTACACCCCCCTCCTCCCCCCCCCCCCCCCCCCAAAAAAATCTTTGTGACTTGTAGCCAACGTTCAAGGGCAAGGTGTGATATGCATATGCATGGTGTTGAGTAGCCGACTGACCAAAGGACATGTTGAAGAGCGGTGGGAAGGCCTTGGCAACTGCAAACAGCCCTTGTAATCTGTCGCATTGCAAACAAGTCCGCCATCGCGTGAGCGCCACGTCAAGTGACAAGACGGTTGCCAAGGGCGATGAGAAGGTGACGGAAAACGAACACAGGCACGCAAAGCATACATACACATGGAAAGACAAAAACACACGTGTGTGCACAGACATGAACAAACACGCACATGTGCTCACGCCCGCCACCATCCGCATGACGGACAAAACACTGACTTGAAGGTGTGCAGGTCCTTGAAGCTGCTGACATCGTCCATGTACGGGCGAACAGTCTGTGAGAGATCTGTTTGCAGGAGCAGGTTGTTGTCCATCATAAACTTGAGCATCTCTGTCGCCAAATCGCGCAGTTTCGACGTCTCGGAGAACACCGACGACATCTGCAAGCGCATGTATGTGCGTGCGTGCGAGCGAGTATGTGTTTGAAAGCGTGTATGCGTGTATGTGTGTGTACGAATATGTGTGCATGCATGTTTGTGAGCGTGTGAGCAAGCAAATATTTGAAGTGTGTACATACACGAGTGTGTGTGTGAATGCGAATGCATTGCTCTTGCAAGACCAACCTCAACAAACACCACTTTGAATTGGAATGGTAACAGCGGGCGAATTTCTGTGTGTGTGTTTTGTGCAAGGCCAATGCCATGTCGCCGGTGGCGTGCTGGAAACTTACCACGTGAGGAAGAAGGTCCTTGACAAGGCCGTCCCACTTGCGTGTTTTGAGAAGTTCGTGGTACATCTCCAGGGCAGACACCTGCAAAGGCAAAGGAGACGAGGGAGGTTTGAAACGAGGGTGAGCACAAAAGGGCAGCACCGGCGTGCGTCGCAAGCATTCACACAGACAGAGGTACGGGAGTGTTTGCAGTCGTACATGCAGCTTCACGAGACGCAATCACGTCAACCGACAGCAACATACATCCACACACGGATAGACAGCACGATGTAGACACACGAACATGACCGTGCGCGCAAGATACACCAGTTTGAGAGCCAACCAACCCAGATATCGACGTAGCGAGACTTGCTCTGAAGCTTGGCGAGGAGGTTCATGACTTCAAGGACAACAGAGCGGCCAGACACCAGCTGCGGATACGCGGCCGGACTGTGCATGGGTGCAGAGTTGGGCTGCTGCTGCTGCTGCTGCTGCTGTTGTTGTTGTTGTGGCTGCGCTTCGCCATGAGAGGCGGCTTGCTCACTCGCCGTCCGCTTCTGAGAAGATTTGCCTTCGCTGGCGCCGGCTGCTGTGCTCTCCTGCTGCGACGACTGCTGCTGCTGCTGCGATGACTGCTGTTGCTGCGATGGTTGTGAAGACTGTTGTTGCTCTGCCGATGACTGTTGTTGCTGTGATGGTTGTGATGGCTGTTGCTGCTCTGCCGATTGTGACGGCTGCTGTGAAGGCTGTGCTTGTGCCTGCTGTGAAGGCTGTGCTTGCGACTGATCTTGAGGCGGCTCAGCAGTATCACCGGAACCATCAGTTTGGGGCATTGTTGTTGCTGCTGTTGTTGCTGGTGCAGCAGTAGCTGTCGAGGTTGTGCTTGCAGTGGCAGTTGAAGTTGCTGCAGGTGCGCCAGTTGATCCACCAGGCTGCTGTGCCTGCTGAGTTGGCTGTTGTTGTTGTTGTTGTTGTTGTTGTTGTTGTTGGTCTTGTTCGTTTTGGATCTGCTGTGTTGAAAGCATACCTGACTGGTGTTTTTGCTGCTGCTGGCGCTCTTGCTGCTGTTTCTGTTGCTCCTGGTGCTGCTTCTGTTGCTTGAGGGCTTCCTTGGCAGCAGCGCTGGCGGCAACCGAGTACTCGCCAAGCAGATCAAGCAGCGACTCTTCCTTTGTCATGCACAACAGCGCGCCAATCACGCATTGCAGGTTGGGCACGGTCGGTGCACGCACAAGCAGCGACAGCCCGGACAGCACGTCAAACTGCCAGCAAGTAAGTACGCACCACAAAGCACCCCACAACACAAATTAGGTGAGATGTGACATGAGACAGGTCCATCCACCATGGGACATCAGACCCATGGCAAACTGGGTAAGTACATGCGTGGGCGCGGCGTGGTTTCGTGTTTCATCTGTGCTTGTGCTTGTATGCGCATGTGTGCATGTGTACGCTTTGCGCTTGCTTTCATGCATGCGTGTGGGGGTTCAACAGTACGTACCACAAGGAAGAAGTGGCTCATGGGAAGGCCACTCAGCTTCGACAAATGCGAAACCAGGTCGGGTGCCTGTACCAATGGAACAAGGCAAGGGCAGGGAGTGCCCAATTAACCATTGGCGCCAATACGTCCCATACATTCGCTCATGTGTGACTCCCACGTGGGCAGCACACACACACACACACACACACACTGTTCACAGACAGACAGGCACACACACACACATACACACACACACACACACACACACACACACACACACACACACACACTGGTCACAGACACAGGCGTGTTTGTGTGTGGCGGTACATACCAGTTTCTGCAGCTGGGACCACTTGGAGAGGAAGAGCTCCGTTGCCCGCCGCCCAACCATGCCAAGCGGCGTGAGGACGGACGAAAGCTCATAGTCCCCGAGCCCCGTTCGCGACAGCACGCGCTTCATCAGGTACACCTGCGCAAATTTCGGATTCTCGGCGTCGTTGATGTTGGTTCCTGTTGACACCACAAACAACCACACACATCACGCACACATAGACACAATGCAAGCGAAGAGACAACGCTGATGAGGGCACGTGGACAGTAGCACTCTTGCATATTCGTGGAGAGATGACGGCAAAGACTGCCATTCCAATAAAGCAAGCAGAACACACATACACACACAACACACACACGCACACGCAGAGACGCCCTCCCTCATGCACACCCATGCACCACCAAGGTAACCACGGGACTGACCTGGCCGCAGGAGCCTGTTTGGCTTCTTGGAAGCAAACGCCTTTTCCACCAACAACGCAAGCGTGTCCGTGACCTCCTTGTGCAGCGATTCAGGCAGAGGCTCGTGCTCTGATCCCATTGCTCGTAGCAACGCGCAGTAGATGCGATAGCAAAACGGGCTGTTGCAAGAAGACACCAGCAACAGCAGATAAAGGCAGACCCCCGAAGCAGCAGCACAGTGGAAGGTGAGATGCGGTGAATTGAGGGACGAGCAACAAATCACGTAAAGGGGAGGGGTCCCAGAGCAGGAACTTGCCACACACAGAAATAGAGGCAAGTGCACACACAAACGTGCACGCGGCAACGACACCAACAACACCGCCAATACGAAGAGAAGCACCAACATTAGCAGGAACAACCAGCAACAAATACAGCAGCAGCAGCAGCAGCAGCAGCAGCAGGGGTGGAAACGCACTCGAGGGCGACGGTTGGAAGGATTTCGATGACGGCGCGAAGGCCAAAGATGGCACCACGCCGCTCGAACATGCCGAGCTGTGACGCGCTGTCAGCGAGCACGCGGACCGTCGTTTGTACTGCAAAGAGCACACACATGTGATGCGACAGCAAAGTCAGGATGAAAAAATCATCAGCGGTGCTACAGCGCCCCACACCTTGTACCTTTTGTGTCCAACATCAACACAAGCACACAGAAGCTATATGTGTGCAGGCACACAGAGAAACACACACACACACATAAATACTCTCACATCAAAACACGCACAGAAACAGAGACACACACAGACGCACACAGACACACACACAGGCAAACACACACACACACACACACACCACACACACACACACACACACAGGCAAACACACACACACACACACACGGCTCGCTTTAGTGGAGTACCAAGTGGGACGAGGTGCAGGAGGCGGGCATCACCCATGACCTTCTCCACGTCAGACAGCAGTGTCCGCAGCGCCCACATGCCGGCCTGCACAGATGCGTCGCAGTCGCGCTGAATCGCCATCACAATCGCCTTCACAATCACGTGCAGCGGGGCAATGCGCGAGGAGGGCGCCCAGTAGTCGAGCGGGGGTAGCAGGTCGTGAGCAGCGCCCAGCGCAGTGAAGAAGTCGCTCTCGCGTGTGCTGGTGGCAAATGGGCTGCGCTGCACCTGGCCACAGTCCATCAGCAGCTCCTGCGCGCCAAGAAACGCGACGTGTGCAAACATGCCCGAGAGGAAGCTGTCCACTTCCTCGTCGCCGTGCATGAGCAGCAGCGCACACAGGTTGTCGCAGATGTGGTTGTCCCATGGCAGCAGGTGGAACACGGCGTCCTCGCGCTCCGGGGGAAGGCTCGGCTTGAGCCCGGGCAGGGCGTCGGCCAGCTTGGGCAGCAGCGACACCTCGTTCACCGTCGCGTCAATCTTGAACGCAACAGCCGCCACCATCATCAGCATTTGTTTTGCCTCCTGGTACTTGGGGTGGCTCTTGTTGGTGGCCACGGGCAGGATGGCTTCCTGCACGTCTCCGAGCGGAATCTCAACAAACGTGGTCAGGTTGTAGTGCAGCCGGGCATTGAGGTTGTGTGCCTCTGGCTTCACCGGCAGTCGCACTTCTTGGCCTGCACCGCCAAAAAACGCAAATACACGAAGGGGCAGTGACGCACAGGATGGCACCGTTGAAGAGGAGATGGGGTAGAGAGAGGGGGGGGGGTAGGAGAGGGGTGGGCGTGTGCAGGCGTCAGTTCACGGTAATGGGCGCACGCAGTTGGTTCAACATACACAAGACAAACACGACAAACACGACAAACATGACAAACGGAGAGACAGAGAGACAGACATTCACACACACGAGCACGCATGCATGCACGCACAAACACACACACACACACACACACACACACACACACGAGCACGCATGCATGCACACACACAAACGCACAAACACAAACACGCACACACATGTCGCAAGCCTCAACAACAACTGTACCGAGATGGTAGTAGGAACATCCTGAGAGTTTGGAGAGGGTGCGGAGGACGGCGGGCGCCTCGGGACGGCCCTGGCGCGCAATCGCATACAGCCGCTCCAGCAGCTCGCCGCGGATGGGCCGGTTGATGGCCTCTGCATGTGCATGAGCGTGCGCGTGTTGTTGAGGGTGTTCGTGCGTGTGGTCGCGCGTTAGTGCAGGTGCATCCAAGTGCGTTCAGACGTTTGCGAATTGCACGAGGGATGTGTAGGCATTGGCCTCCGTCACACGTGACACGAAGTGTCGTCAACCAGGGAAACGCACTGAGGAAGATGTGAAGGAACTGGTCGAAGAAGTGCGCAACCAGGCGATCAAAGCAGGTGATGGCGCTCGCATCTACACCCAGGCGAGAAATGTGGTCGTGAGAACAAGGCAAAAGAAGCGAGGAAAAAGAAACAAGCGAGATCAGGGCAAGAGCGAGTATGACGCAAACACGCCACACAGATGTATGCATACGTCGTACACTCACGGGCGCACACATACAGATGCAACGAACAATGACTGATCCAACAGAACATGGGTGGACAGCTGAGCAGAAGACATACAGCTTGGATGGGCCGGGTCCAGGGCATCAATGAGGAGCGGAAGGATGTTGTTGAGGGTCTCTGTCGGCATGATCAGGCGGTGTGTCATGGCGAACACGGCCTCGCACGCCATTCGACGCCACTTACGGCAAAGAACAGAAAGCAACAGGTAATGACAAATGGAGTGAGTCAACGTGTGCAAGGGCTCTCATGGGGAACAGTGCCATGCATTCTCTTCATCGCGACACACCTCAAGAGGTTTGCGCACTAACACAGCAAACACGCACAACAAGCGTACAACAAACGAACATGCACGCAAACTTACGCACACACACACACACACACACACACACACACACACACACACGTGGAAACAGGGGAACACGACATATGTTCATGGCCAGTTGTGTCTTGTTGCTGGCTCGATTTGCATCGACGTTGCATCGGCGTACCTGTTCGGACTGTGTGCTGCGGAAGTGGGGCAGGGCCTCAGACTGCTGGTAGAGGCGACGCAGTCCGGAGACGAGGCTCGACACGTGCGGGTGAATCTCCTTCATAATCATCATGCTGTTGGTCTTCTCCGCGAGGCTCACCAGGATGCGCACCAGTGACGTCAAGATGCTCAGGTGCTGAGTGTGTGCATGTATGTGCATGTGTGTGTGCATATGTGTGTGTGTGTGTGTGTCAATGAGTGGTGGGGAATCGGGATTGGCACATCAGTTGAGCGACAGCAACAGCCACGCTTTGCAGCGGACACGCGCACATGGGTACTTGCACCCAATGTGTACCTCGCGGACGTTGAGGTTCTTGACGCACTTGGGAAGGGCCTTGTGATAAAACTCAATGACAGACTATTTGTTGTGTGTTGGATGGGGAGGAGGCATGAGTCTGTGGTGGACGCGAAGCACTGTGCATTTGCAAGCATCTCCAACACAGACACTCACACACGCTTTCAACTGACATTCTGGTAAGGAGACAAGCACATCAGCATACAAAGCAGAGCACGACGACCCTCTTCTCCCCCCCCCCCCACACACACGGACGCACAATGTCGCGCAGGCCGGAAGCGGAGGTGATGATGTGCTGGAAGAGTTTGATGAGGAGGCTGAGGCGCTTCTGTCGCTCATCGACGCACTCGTCATCCAGAGCCTCGAGGATCTTGCGCATCACGCCTTGCACTGCACACACACACACACACACACACACACACACACACACACACACACACACACACACACACACACACACACACAGCGTTGACATGTTGGGGGTTGCAGAGAAGGTGCCAGTAGCTGTGAGTTGCGTGCCACTGCGAAAGGAAGTACCGCATTCAGGGCGATGGGGGCAGAGCGACGCGACCAGATGAACGCTTTGCGTGCAGGCAACATGGACGGCGGGCGAGGCGAATGGTGCACTTACTCAGGAAGGGGCGCGCTGGCAAGACGCGGGCGAGGTGCACGAAGTGTGAATACAAGCCACGCGTCTCGCTCAGGTGGATCATCCAGTCAAGGTAGGAGTGGACGTACTGTCAACGACAATGGCAGACGAGCAGGCACGCAAGCACGACAGGGCACAGCATGGCATGTCGGAGGAGGAGAGACACGTGTGAGCTTTTCGCGGAGGAGGTTTTGCACTTCGTGGCTGGACAGTGGCCACAAGCAAGCGCAAGGCAACGTGTATTGACCAGCACAAAACGATGACACATGCGCCCAAACAGGGAGCAATGGGCAAATCAACACAACGCAAGAGGGACGCTGACTTCGCGGAAGGTGACGGGGTCGAGACGCGAGTACGCAGCAAACAACAGCTCAAAGTCTGGGAAGCGATTGCGGCCCTCTTCATTGCTCCGAAGGTAGTCGATGAGGAACAGGGCTGTCGTCATCATGTGCATACGCGCGGGCGTGTTTTGGAAGGGAGGTGAGCTCGCAAATCCACACAGCAAGAACTGACCACAGCTGACGACGCTGTTGACGCCACACCGCATGACATCATACCACACACCACGCATCACAGCACAGTACAGCAGGGCGAAGGTGGCGAAGCTTACAGTTGGTGAGAAACTGCTTGAGGAGGTACGTCTCGGACGAGGCGACAATGCGAATGGTTGGCATCGGAGTTGATGTCTGGAATGACTGGTTGCACTGTTGCAGCAATGCGACTGCAGATCCCAAGCAAACGTGGGCATGCAACAATCAATTGAACACGCAGTCAGAAGAGAGGGAGTGAGTGAGTTTTCAGCAAAGGCCAGTGTCCACCAACAAAAGAAACTCGCATTGGGCACCGACGACGACTGCACAAGAAACCGAAAATTGCACACAGGACACACAGCGAAAGTTCGGTGGCGCATTCATGTTAACACACGTGAACAGCGCGCAGCACGGCACAACTCACGTGTCCTGCAGCAGAAGCCCACGCAAGCGCGGGCGGCGCCGCGCAGGTGCGCATCTGTGCTGCGCGAGGTCATGGCGTGTGTCAGTGGATACGCCCACTCCTCCATCTCGGCCGGAAACGCATTCAGGCCGTGCGTCCCGCCCATGTCCATGCCAATTTCGTTGGTGTGGGCGAGACGGTAGCTTGTGGAGCCCGTGGCTCGCGCGTACTGCAGGCCGGGGCGATTCGGGTGCCTCATGTACACGTCGCCAATGCGGCCAAGCAGGGTCACGCCGCTGTGAAGCATAAACACAATCGTGCGGCGTGCAGATGCCGGCGGACCCTTTGTTGCGGTGGTGTGTGTGTGTGTGTGTGTGTGTGTGTGTGTGTGTGTGTGTGTGTGTGTGTGTGTGTGCAAGTACGTGCAAGTACGTGCGCGAGGGCCGGCGTAAACGAGCAGGAAGGAAAGATGATGAGTGACGACATCTGACGCCCGCGCACGAGGGCTCATGGCAAGCACAGGCCGTGGGAACGGTTTAACCATCGGCAGCCAAAAAAAGCAGCAAATGCAAGGCAGGGCCAAGGGCAGAGGCGGTGGTGGTGGTACAAACGTGAAGTTACCTTAGATGCGAGCCGTTCCGCGATCATCTCAAGCACCTTCAGCGCCATTGGGTACGTGGCAAAGGCGAGGCGTGAGTCATGCAGCACGCAGGCCACCTTGCCGGCAGCGCGCGTGAGCATGTGCGGCTGCATGTCCAGGCGGCTGCTGAGCAGCAACTCCAGCGAATGCAGGAAAGACGTTGACAGCGACTCCAGCGTGCTGAAGCGTGGGGCAAGGTCCAGTTTGTAGAACATCTTGAAGCACTCGTACGCCTGCACAGAAGAGGAGGCGGCGAGGGGGGGGGGGAGCGGTTGTCATTCGCAGCGTCGGTGGTGAGGGTTGGATAGGCATGAGTGGATGGGATGGCAACAAGTGGATGGGAACGGCCACCGCCGGGAGGGAGGGGAGTCAACAACATAATGCCACTGCCCTCCAAGCATGGCGAGGCAAAGGAACGACAGAGATAAGAAAACAACAATTGGCAAGAAATGCATGTGACGTGGATGGGCTTGAAGCAAAGAGAAGGGGGTGGGGTTGGAAGGGACATGCTCGCACCTGGTCTTTGAGTTTCTCGTGTGATTCTCTGGCCAACCTTGCCGCGTACGAAATGTCCTTCAGGTGCTGTAAGCAGCAGCGAGGCGAGAGGCAGAGGTTTTTTTTTTTTTGTTTTTTTGGGGGGGGGGGAGGGCCGCGATTAGTGAAGACAGCACCGGTGATCCTCATGTCCAGCGCATACTTGGGCATGCCGACCCTTCCCATACCCACCCACACACAAAAACACACACACACACACACACACACACACACACACACACACACACACGCATAGCACAACACAAGAGTGTGGCGTACCGCGCTGCCGTTGGGAAGGGCGTGGCGGAGGAAGGCGAGCAGACCCGCAGAAACAACATCCACAAGCGAGCGGAAGTTGTCAAAGCGGCACAAGTGGCGCAGCATCACCAAAATGCGCAGCTGCAGCGTGTTTTTTTTTTTTTGGGGGGGGGGGGAGGAGGCGGTCAATTGTGACCGAGTGGGTGGATTTGCACGCAGGGAGGGGTGAGTGTGTTGGTAACACATGCGAACGCACATGTCGTGTGTTGATGAGCACCTTACACTCCTCACATTGCAAGATTTTCACATGGAACACGAGCAGCAGCCCATCGAGCAAGACAAGTGGTGCTGGTGTTGATGGTGCTGGTGTTGCTGCTGCGCGAGCGCACCTGGGAGTGGACGAGGGTGTACCAGTCGCGCTTAACGTGGCGCGGCAGATCCGTGTACGTCACCATCGGCTGGAACTTGACAAACTGAAAAAAAAAAAAAAGGACGCAAGTTGGGGTTGGACGGGTGAGGAGGAGGTCAACAAGGGAGAACGGTGGAGCAAGTGCCGCGGCAACCAGAAGCACTCGAGCGGGTCAGCGAGTAGAAGCAACCATCACAGGGGTGTGGTGCTGATACATGGCAGTTTACGAGGCGCATCACACACAGGAAATGGCAAGAACCGCCCGCAACAAACACACACGCACACACACACACGCAAACACGCACACACACGCAAACACGCACACGCAAACAAACACAAACAGACAAACGCACACACACACACACACAAACACAAACAGACAGACACACACGCACACACACACACACACACACAAACAGACATGCACAAACAGACAGACACACACGCACACACGCACACATACACACACACAAAGTACGAAACAAAGGCAAGCGCAGCCGTGAGGACCCTACCACGGCGATGAACGGCTCGAGTTCCTGCAGCAGCGACTTCATGCCATCAATCACAACCTTCGGAGTCAACAGCGTGGTGATGACCGAAACCAGCTCCGTCAGCACAGGGAGCGAGTGTGTTCCTGGCAACCGCGGTTCTGAACACGCACACGCGCACAAACACACAAATACACAACAGAACCAATGTCAACAGGGCACGAAGAAAAGGCGCGAATGGTGATTGCATGAGCGCTGTGAAGAACAGCTGGTGAGAGGGCAGCAAGAGGCACACGCAAGTATATCGCCACTGCACATGCATTCCAGACTTAATCACTTCACACCACGCCACCACGGACACAAGCACTGGAATCCTCATGCCAATACATTCCAACACGAACACCGGCGTATCTCATCACAACACACGACACCACACCCCGCCAATGCACGCCACATCGAGCAGAACGTACTCTTGAGCCCCTGCTCTGTAAAGTGGAAGTGGACCGGGCGACCGGAAGACGTGCCAAGAGCTGCTGTGGAGACATATGTCGACAGCAGCGACTGCGCCTGCAGCTTTGCCTGCTCCGGCGTGAGCTGCGGCCTGTACATGCGCTGCCCGTACCCTTGTCCTTGGGGAACACCTGGCGCCATGCCAGGTGCAGGGGCGATGGAGTAGGACGGTGCTGCCATCTGTCCTGACATCATGGGGGTCGATGACATGCCTGTCGTCGTCACCGGCACACCGCTCATCGCATACTGCGGCTGCTGCTGCACTGGGGCAATGGCACCAGCCCCCGTGGATGGAGGCATCTGCCCGCGCGGCGCGTACGCGTACACGCCCGTCGCGCTGCTTGATGGCGGCGGCGCGGTGCCCGGTGCCCCTGTCGTGGGCACAGTCGAGCCCTGCGATGTGTACGGCATTGGTCGCTGGAAGGCCGTCGTCGACGTCGGGGTACTGGTGGCCACGGTCGTGGCTGTTGCCGCCGTCCCTGAAGGCGTGGTTGTCGCCATTGTGGTTGTCGGCAGCGGCTGCGTTGTGTACTGCACCCCAGGTGCCGGCGGCCGAGTGCCGGCATAAGCAGAGCTTGTGGCTGTGGACATGGGCTGACTCGTCGCCATGGTTGTTGTCGGCGGCACGCTCGTTGGCACCGAAGTGGCGGCGGTTGTCATGGGCGGGCGGTACTGCGTGTATGCGCCGCTGGCGGCAGGCGTGCTGGTTGGCGGCTGCGCGCTGTACACCGCTGGCGCCGTGCTTCCCGCAGATGTCGGTGCCGTGGATGTGTACGGCGTCGTGTACGTGCTGGTTGGTGCGGTTGAGTACACGGGCGCCGCCATACCCGGCGCCGCCGTTGTCGTGCCCGTGGTGGGCATGGACGTGGGCACACTCTGCGGCTGCGTCGCCGTTGCTGCTGAGGACTGCAGCACAGTGCCTGTCGGCGCACTGCCTGTCGGCGCACTGCTGCTCGCAACCGTTGTTGGCGCGGTTGAGGTTGACGGCGGCGGCTGCGTGGATTGGTACTGCGATGTGGCGGCAGTGGTGCCACTGCTGGCGCGTGATTGTGCCGAGGAGTAGGGTGCATATCCACCGCCAACACGCGCGCCAGCTGCACCGGGCGCAGTCGAGGTCCCCGGCCCGGTCGCTGCGTATTGGGGAGGAGCCGCTGCCGACGAGACAGGAGCCATCGTTGACACGGGCGCTGGTGTGCCGGTGTACGGCGTCTGCTGCTGGGACGCGTACGCGTACGTTGGAGCTGACGATGCAGGCATCGATGATGCCATGGTTGTCGTTGTTGTCGCTGCTGTTCCTGTCGTCGTCGCTGTCGACGTCAGTGGTTGTGCTGCCTGAGGTGTGCTCACAGCAGCTGCACTGGTGGACGATGTGGACGATGTGGCGGGCGTGGTGGAGGTCTGCTGGGGGGCGGAAGTGCCAGGTGCAGCGCTGGCCGTGCCGCTGCCATCCTGCTGACCGCCGCCCGATGCCTGCTGGTTGTAGCGCTCCCACGCCTGCTGCAGGCTGAGGTGGTACCACAGGTACTGCGGCTTGTGGACGTGCACCTGCGCCTTTGTGTCGCCCGTGGCCGTGAGCTCCTGGATGCGCGATTTGATCATCTTGGCCGTCTCCGTCAACACCCCAATTGTCTTGGTTGCGTCGTCCAGTTTTGCCTCACACTCTGAGATGGCGCCACGCAGCTCATGGTAGTGCGACCGTTGCTGCGAATTGTGTGTGTGTATGTTGTGGTGTGTGTTGTGTGTGTGTGTGTGTGTGCGTGTGTGTGCGTGTGCGTGCGTTGTGCATGAAGGTTGAGGGGTGAGCCAAGAAGCAAGGTGCAACGAAACAAGAATGACAAAGGGACAAAACACAAGGCGATGGACAGGGTGTGTGTGTGTGTGTGTGTGTGTGTGTGTGTGTGTGTGTGAAAGTGCTCACCTGAGCATAGCCGGCAGACGCCGTGCCGGTGTTGTATGCCGGGGTGTGCGGGCGGGTGCCCATGGGTGAAGGCGCTGCAGTCGCAAGCAGCAAGCAGACACGGGCACAAAGCAGCAAGGCGAGGGGGTGAGTCCACACACGAGAAATGTACAATAGCTCGAGGGGAGAGGGGGCAGACACAGCGCCACAACATGTAGCAGTCACTGCAACAGAAACAAAAGCGGATGGCAGGTGTGGTGTGGTGTTGCACCTGCGCTCGATGGCTGCATTGTTCGGGATCGGGATCCAAATGGCGGTTGGAGGTGCAGCGAATGAGGACAAAGAAACGAAAAGCAGAGGCGTGAGCAGACGTGCCAACAACCGTAGGCAGCACATTCCCAAATGCCGGCGCGGGCTCACATATACACACATGAACACACGTGAATACGCACACACATAAGAACATGCACATTCATGCATGCGCACATGCTACACATTCACACATTCGCACGTGCATGCATGCACATGGGACGCACCTGACCGTACACGCCGCCGCTGCTGTGGGTTGAAGTGGGTGTTTGAAGAGGTGGCTTGACTTGGGAGTTTTGCAGGTTGCGCAGCTGTCGTGGCGTTGCAGCAGACAGCAGTGAAGGTGGGGGCGGGTTTGAGTGTGGAAGCAGGTCGTGTGTGTGTGCGCGCGCGCGCGCGCGTGTGTGTGTGTGTGCGTGTGCGTGTGAGTGTGGAGGAATTACATATGGCGGAGAACCATGGTGAGGTAACTATGCAAGGGCAAAGGCAACAACACAAGCGACATACCTCGCTTCGCTTGCTTTCAAGCTCGCTGCTGGTTGCGGTGTGGTACTTGTACATCTGCTCCAGCATGTGGGTATTGGTGTCGTTGAGCTGCTTCACCGCCTCAAGCGGCATGTGCGGCAGAAAGCGGTTCGCCTGTAGCCAGAAACACAGACAAACACACACACACACACAGACAAACACACACACACACACACGCACGCACACACACACACACACGCACACGCGCGCGCGCACACACACACACGCACACACAGCACACAAGCACAAGAGGACCACATATGAGTACATTTGAATGTCGGACGCAGGGGGCGAGCGCAGGGAGTGAGCGCAGGCTGTGGGTGCAGAGCATGTACAGGCTTGTGGTTTGACTCTCTGCAGTCAAAAGGTGCACTACGAACCACGCTGGCGGTGATCTCCATGTACACGCGGCGAATGTAGCCAAACAGCGCCATCTTTTGCTGCACATGGCAGTCGCAGTACAACAACACCAGTCGCAATGACCGTGGCAAAAGAGGTGGGGGAAAGCAAGCAGCCCAAGGGTGATGGGCGGACCAGTGAGTGAACGTGAACTGAGTAGTGTTGTTCTCGCAACCACAAGGAACCGCGAATACTCGCACGCACATGATGTCCTTGTTTGCTATTCACAAGGCCATGGGGCATTTGTGCAAGGCACGCACCTGCTTTGAGATGGCGACGTTTGGCTGGTAGCGCTTGATGTAGAGGAAGACGCGGATGATTGAAGCGCAGACCTGCCCAGACTCAAGCGGCAGCGCCTTGAACAGGTAATCGCACGCATACTGCACGGGCAGGAGACACAACACAACAAACCGATGGGGCAGATGGGTTTGCGCATGAGTGTGTGAATATGAATATGCATGTTTTTTGGTTTTTTTTTTTTTTGGGGGGGGGGGAGGTTATACTCGAGTATGTACGTGTGTCAGTACATTCGGGTGTGTGCACTGGGGCATGTGCGTGCTCCAGTGCATGTGTGCATGTGCGTGTGTGCGTGTGATGTCTGAGCAGGAGAAACAAAGAACGCGGTTGCGGGGGTGCCACCGCACCTCGGCGACGTCGGATTTGCTGAGGCCAATGAGCACGCGAATCGTGTCGATCAAGAACATGCGCGCCGCCTGTACATGTGTGAACGCCATTGCATTGCATGCGTGGAACACATGACGAATCAAGAATAACAACACAACGTGCACACGTGACAAAACACCACGTTGCGCGTTCAAGCGTGAGACATGCGGTGCAAAACAACATTGAAAGAACAACGATGCATGCACGAATACAACCAAAACACGATGCACGCGTGCACAACTCACGGCGCACACAGCCATCACACACCACAAGCACTTCCACCACCGTCACGCTGTAGCAGAACCCTCCTCCCCCTTTCCCTCGCGACCCTTGTCACGCACACACACACACACATACACATACACACACAAACAAACAAACACACAACACACACACACACACACACACACAACACACTCTCTCCCTTCGACCCCAAGGGGCACGTGTGCGCACCACGCCGGCCTCCTCGGAGTCGTCGTAGAGGGGCATGGCCTGCAGTTTGTGCACGATGCTCTTCACATTCTCGCGGAGGTCCACGCGGGCCGCGGCGCGAAGCTTGCTCGACCGGATAAACGACTGCGCAATGAAGGTGACTTCCCGTGGCTCTGCGCAATGGGGCAGGGCGGGAGTGGGAGTTAGGGAAGGGCAAGGGGTGGGAGTCGGCATATTGAGTCGAGGAACATGTCACAACGCGACGCGACTCATGTATGTGTGTTTGGGTGTGTGCGTGTGTGCTATAATCACACCTTCTGTGCTGAGCAGCTTTGTCATGAGCTTCTTCACCGTCTGGAGATCCTCCTGAGAAGGTGCAACCTGCACACACAAGAGCCGTGTAGGATGAGTAGGTACAGAGAGGGAGGGAACGCGTGCCGTTGCACCATTTGTCTCAAACACACAAGTGCACACCTTCACACACACACACGCGCATACAAGCACACCTTCACACGCGCACACCTTCACACACGCATGTACGTACGTGAATCTGAGATCTCCGTGTCCTCGACTCTTGGGTGCTGCTACCACTGGCGGTTGACGCCGATGTTTGTGCAGGCGCCGACGATGCAGGGGGTGGTGTTGCAGTGTTCGCCGTGGCTGTAGTGATAGCTGTGGGCGGTGCTGCACCAGACACCGGTGCGGTGGAAGTTGTGCTGCCGCTTTGCACTATCCCTTGCATCTGCGAAGGTGCGGCTCCTTGTGAAGGCGTCCTATTGACCTGTGGCTGCGGGGTCATGGCGCTCGGTGCTGACGTCGCCATGGACGCCATGGGTGTCATCGGCGCACTTCCCCTTGGCACTGGTGTCGAAACTGGAACGGCGCCTGGGCGTGCTACTTGTGCAGGTGCTGGAACAGAACTGGGCAACGACACTGACCTGCCAACGCCTGTTGGCGTCGACACCATGCCCGTGGGACCAGAAGGCACAGCCACTGGGTATGGTGAATATGTCGTTCCCACGCTGGTTGGAGGTGCAGTGGACGATGACTGCGTGCCACTCACTGCTCCCGGACGGACGCCCACTGTGCTGGTGGTTTGAGGCGGCACATACTGCGGTTGTGGTTGCTGTGACTGTTGTGACTGTTGTGACTGCTGTGGTTGTTGTGGTTGTTGTGGTTGTTGAGGCTGTTGTGGTGGTTGTTGTTGTTGCATTGGCTGGCCCTGCCCTGGTGGAGGGCCCGAGCTCATCGCGCCTGCGTTTCTTTCTCGCGCTCAGGTCACGAGAGACATGCGATACAAGCTCTGTGTGTGCGTCAGTGTGTGTTGTGTGTGTATGTGTTGTGTGTGTTGTGCGTGTGTATGTGTTGTGTGTGTATGTGTTGTGCGTGTGTGTGTCAGTGTGAGTGTGTGATAGAGGCAAAGTGTGAGTGAGTGAGTGTGTGTGTGTGTGTCAGTGTGTGAGCGTGCAGTGTGGGGGTTGTAATGAGGCGTGAACCTTCGACTTGGTCATAAATAAGGGGGCAAACAACAACTTTCTCAAATGCTTATCGTGCGCGCAACGAAGCAGGCTGTTGTGAGATGCACCAACAACCAACCAGGCAGAGGCCTCTCACGCGCTCAGTCACTCTCTGTCTCGTCGATGTCACAACCCTTGTTGTGTCTGTGTTGGTGCGCACTTCGCCTCTCTCGTCGTCTTCTTCGCCCTGCGGCTGCTTCAAGACAGGCGGGAAGAAAAATGGCAATGTTTTCGACCAATGTTCCGACAACTTGTGTGTGTGTGTGTGTGTGTGTGTGTGTGTGTGTGTGTGTGTGTGTGTGTGTGTGTGTGTGTGTGTGTGTGTGCTGTGTGTGTGTGTGTGTGTGTGTGTGTTGCACTTGTCGTTCTTGCTGCACGATGCTTGTGGGAACAAAGCATGTGATGTTGCAACAGTATTTACTGCTGTGCCATGCTGTAGAAGCGGTGCAGACAACAAAACACACACACACATACACAAATACACCAACACCTACACGTACACGTACACACAAAGGTCGTCAAACCAAGCACGCAAACATGCAAGTCAGCTTCAAAGCTCGTCCTTGGAGGCGGCCTTCTTGGCAGGAGCCGACTTGCGGTTGGCATTGACGTAGTCCACGAGGTGCTGTGACGACACCAACAGTAACATCAGCAACAACATGATAAGCCATGGCATTGTCCCAAAGGAAGACGTCGCGTGCATTCTCACTGAGGACTAGGGCACGGCATTGTGCAATTGAGATACACACACACACACACACACACACACACACACACACACACACACTGGAGTGCTTACCGTGACGTCGCGGCCGCCGTCGTACTTCTTGGGGGTGGTGCTGCCGGCAGGCACGAAGAAGATGCTGCACATAGCAAATTGTGTACAGGAGGTCACACGTTCGTACCATATCAAAGCCAACACACGCACACACACGCACACAAACACGCACACACACACACACACACACACACACACACACACACACACACACACACACACACCCTCCCTCTCGTTTGCTCGCGTTGTGCGCACCTTGGGTAGCCGCGCACGGGGAAGGTGGAAGGAAAATCGTTCGCGGTGGCGTCAATCTTGGCAATCACCACATTGTCGTCGTCGGCAAACTCATCGCCAAGCTCAGACCACGTCGGGGCGAGCTTCTTGCAGTGGCCGCACCACTGTCATGCGTGCGCCGTGAGAGCAAGCGCGAGACACACGTGAATGCACTTGTCTGAGTGATGCAGTCACATGTGCGTGCGCATGTTCAACTGCATGTGGCACCGTGTCACTGCAAGGGAGCTGCAAACACAGAAACAAGCTTGTGTGTGTGTGTGTGTGTGTGTGTGTGTGTGTGTTGCGTACGGGAGCGTAGAACTCGATGAAGACATCCTTGTCCTCCACAACAACGTCATCAAAGTTCTTGCCGACGACCGTCTACAACGAAACATCAAACAGAATGCACAACCACGCGACAGGGGGTGGAGCAGCTTGTGAGCAGGGTATGCAGACGCACGGCAAGTGTCATGTGCATGTGTGTGTGTGCGCGCGTGTGTGTGTGTGTCACATGTGTGTGTGTCATGTGTGTGTGTGTGTCATGTGTGTGCGTGTGTGTGTGATGGCGAAAAAGGGGGAACGTACGCGGACGTTGTCGTCGTCCTTCTCTGGGATTGGTTCCGACTTGACGTGGGGCTCCACCTCGCCAGCAGCAAACGCCTCTGCAAACTTCACCATCGCGTCCACGCTGCACAACACCACGAGCGCACGTGTATGTGGGGTGTATGTAGGCTTGCAGGCAAGCAACAACAGTGCAGCATCACAAGCATCACAAGCATCAGCGAACACGCGCGAACACACACACACACACACACACACACACACGCACATACACACACACGCACGCACGCACACACCTCCAGTCGTCGTCCATGCGGTACTTCTTTCCATCGGAGCCGTGGATGGCGACGCCAATGTCAGACGTGATGCCAAACTGCAGCGTGCATTCATGCAGGCAGTTGAGTCGCAGGTGTGCGTGTGTGTGTGTGTGTGCGTGTGCGTGCGTGTGTTGTGAAACAAAGGCATGTGTGGGAATGAGACACAAGGTCGATGACGAGCCAAACAAGAGGAGAAGGGATTGTCAGGGCGCATTGGCTTCGAAACACGCGGAGCCACAACACAGAAGGCATACACGGACACAGCAAACTCAGTCACCACATCACACACTCCATTGCCACAACACAGCAACAGTGCCGTGCACAGCAACAGGGCCGTGCATGAGGGTGTTTGCGTACCGCCTCAATGTCCTGTCTGAAGCCGTCCTTGTTAGCGACGGCCCATGTGAGGTCGGTGTTGGCCTTGCTCTGCGCCTTCAGCACGCGGTTGCGCACGTACTTGACGCGCGATGGGTTCAGCTGCAGAATGTACACGCTCGATGAGTTGACGTTGTTGGTTGGTGGGTTGGTTGGTTGGTTGGTTGGTTGGTGGGTGGGTGGGTGGGAGACGAAAGCACGTGGGCTCGCGGTTCGGAGGTGATCCCCCGGCTGAGGACTATGAATGCACCAGGTGCACTTGCCCTTCGAAAGTGTACAGTTGATCACAACGGCACACACACACACACACACACACACACACACACACACACACACACACACGCACACACCGCACACACACACACACACACACACACACACACACACACACACACACACACCTCGAGGTTGAGGTCGAAGTAGACGACAAGGAGTGGGGTCTTCTTCATGAGGAAGGGGCGGGTGTCCTCTGTCATTACCCCGACCTTGCCCAGCGCCGCGTCAGCAACAAACGCCGTGATGTCTGCAGGGCGCGGCTGGAGGCGGAAGCAGCACGGCAAAGAAAGAAACGTGATGGGTGACTGTTGACCACAAAGGTATGCACGCACACGCACACGCGCGCGCACACACGCACACTCACTTGCACACACACAAACGCACGCACGCACACACATATGCTCACACACACACGCTCACACACACACATGCACACACGCCTGCACACACACACACACACACACACACACACACCTCGCCGTCGTAGGTGTGGGTTGGCTCTTCAAACTTGTTCTGCAGCTTCTTCGGCTGGAACACAACAATCTTGCTGTCAAGTCAAGCGGAAATCAGCCGCAACGGGAGATTTTGTCACAGCAACAGGCAGGTACATGATGAGACACGACAATGAAAGGAGGAGGTGGTGGGGGAGGAGGAAAGGTGATTACGTAGTAAGGTGACATGCAGGTACAAGCCCTCGTGGCAAGAGCAACGCAAGCATGCATGCGCAGGAACACAACAAGGCCACATTCATACAAGACAACGTGCGTACACCCACAGCTACAGCGATACTGCTCACTTCTCTCCGTATTTGGCGAGGGCATCTTCGTTGCGTGTGTATGCAAAGCGGAAGCTGTCACGGTTGGCATCTGCAGACTTCTGGAACGCAGACTTGAGCCGGTCGCTGTTCTTCAAAAAGGCTGAACGCGCATGCAGTTGCAGTGCAGTGGATTGTGTGTATGTGTGTGTGTGTGTGATTTTGTGCGTGTTGACGCGCGTGTACGGTTGAGAATGAGAGAGAGAGAGAGAGAGAGACGAGAAGGCAGGGTCGCATTGATTGTGTGTGTGTATGTGTGTGTGTGCGTGTGCGTGGGGGGGGAGGGGTCGTTCAGTCTCCACAGCGTTATCCGCTTATGGCATTGCTGCCCTGTTAACAAAATTGTTCGCTTGGGGTGTCTCAGGCGCGTACCAACGACGGCCGTCTCGTCTGAGGCGAGGAGGGCATCAAGCTCCTTCATGTCGCTCAGCTCTGGGAAGGAGAACACGTCAGCACAGACATGAGCGTGGTGTTGCCGTGGACAGAACTACGCAATACGGAAGTGGCAAGGGAGAGCAATGCAGCGAAGCGTGTCGTGCGACGTGGCTGGGCAGGACAAAACAGCCACATCAGCAGGGTGAAGGAGCTGAACAACGAGACGTGAACGCACCAACGGCGCTTGGGGTGGCTTGCTTCTTCATGTACTTGACAATGGCCGATGCGGTGCGCTGGTCCTCATAGGGCGCAAACTCCTCGCCGTTCCGGAACAGCTACGATGTGCGAAATTTCGTGTGTACATGCGTGCGTGTGCGTTTGCGTAAGTGTGTGTGTGTGTGCGTGTGTGTGTGTGTGTGTGTGTGTGTATGTGTGTGTGTGTGTGTGTGTGCGCGCGCGTTTGTGTTTGTATGTGTATATATGTACGTGTGCGTTGCGTTTGTGTGCATTTGCGTTTGTGTGTATGTGAGTGTGTGTGTGTGTGTGAGAGTGTGTGTGTGTGTGCGTTTGGGTTTGTGTAAGTGTGCATGTGTGCGTTTGGGTTTGTGTGTGTGTGTGAGTGAGTGAGAGAGAGTGTGTGTGCATGTGTGTGCATGTTGGCGTGTGCTAAAGCGCATTTGTGTGAGCAAACCCATCCGAGGTTTGCCCTGCCAGCACGTCACCCATCAAGTGCACGCGCATACCTTGATGGTGGGGTAGCCGCGAACACCAAACTGGCTGGCCAGGGCGCTCTCCTCCGTGGCATCCACCTTGGCAAGCATGATGTCCAGGCCAGTCTTGGCCAGCTCCGTCGCAGCCTTCTCATACTCTGGCTCCTGTTCGTGCAACAACACAAAACAGCGGACAACCCGTGCGAGCGGCAGTGAGTTTGTGCATTATAAACGAACGCGGCCTGCCCTGCACAGCAAAAGCAAGGGTGAGACGAGACAGGAACACAGGCAGTGCCGACTGGCAAGGCCTTTGTTCGTTCCAACGAGCAACAGTCACGCAAACAAATCATCATGCCCTACTTACCAAACGCTTGCAGTGACCACACCACTGTTGTTGTTGTTGTTGATGTTGAAGGAGTGCAAAGCAAAGCATGGAATGTGAGGAAGCCTGGAATGTGTGCTTTCACACTGAATCGAGCATAGTGTACACCCACACCCACCCACACACAAACTCTCTCCCTCTTTCGCTTTCTTTGAAGCCACTGAACACTGCAACGACACACTGAAGTGGACACTGCAAAGACACACTGAAGCCACTGAACACAAACACATACAAACGCACGCACGCGCGCACACGCACGAAAGACACGAACCAACCGGGGCGTAGAACTCCACAAGGGCGAGGGGTCGCTCCTTCAAGGTGGAGGCAAAGTTGTTCGTGGTCAGCGTCACCACATCCGAGCCTTGGGCTGTGCCAGCGGCCGCAACCACCGCCACCAAAACAAGTAAGGCAGCAACGGCACTCGTCATCATCAAAGGAAGGACACGTCAGTCAGTCTGAAAAAAATTAAAGACAACAGCACAAAATAAATGACTTTTACTGTCAATTTTGACAGCTGGACCAACTTCGCCGTCCGCGAAAATTTTGAATTTCCACCATCGCATCGCCAAAGCAAACAAGCAAACACCACACACACACAAGCAAACACCACACACACACACAAGCAAACACCACACACACACACATATCAACACCATCCAATCACCCATCCATCACCACAAGCAAGCCAGCAAGCGACAATGTCGTTGACACCAACGAGATCCACAGGCGACACCCCTACCAGCACCAACAACAACACCACCACCAACAGCAACAACGTCTCCACCATGTCCTTCGATTATGACGGCTTCCAGTGCCGTGAGTTCAGCTTCTCCACAGCCAACGCCATCAACCTGGACGACAGCGATGCGTTCTTCGGTGCGTTTGCGTGTGTATTTCATTGTTTGATAAGGCTGCCAACAAACCTGCCAACATTGTGTGCCGTTGTGTGCCGTGACCCATACGTGCACGCCTTGGCGCTTGTCGGCGTTGCGCTTGACCACGACGTGCGCGTACTGCCCTTCATGTTTCGCGGCTTTCATCACTCCTCACTTGACAACACACACTCGCACACCACACACTCACCCTCACACACACTCACACACACCCACGCACATGCACTCACTCACTCACACGCACATGCACTCACACACACCCACTCGCACACACCCACGCACATGCACTCACACACTCACACCTCTTCATGTTTGTGCATGTAGCCAACCACAAAGACTCCATGGCGCCCACCGAGCTTGGCCGCCAAAGTGGGGCAGTTGAAAACGACGACTCCATTCTGAACATCAGCGCCGAGGTGGAGCTGGACGACACCATCATGGGCCCAACCACTGCAAACACAAGCACCACAGCCGCAGACACGCCCATCGCATCGACACCAACAACCAAGCTCATCAACTTGGAGAGCACAGGGGTCATGACCCCGGTCAACGACACAAGCGACATCCCGGACCCGTTCCTCACGCCCGTCGCCAAGCCTAACGAGCAGCAGGAGACACAGGCAGAGGAGGAGCAACAGGAACAGCCGCAAGCTGTGGAAGCCGTTGCCGACGCACAAGCCGAGGCCGATGAGAACAAGGAGAACCAAACGCCTGCCGAGCCAAAGCCACGCTTCATCAACCTTAAGACCAGCTGGGGCCCTTCGACTGCTTCTGCAGCCTCGAAGGCAACCTCCAAGGTGTGTATATGTGCTTGTGTAGCTATGTGTGCGTGCGTGTGAGCTGAGCGCACGCATGTGCGTTAGTGATTGTGTGTGTGTGTGTGTGTGTGTCTGTCAGGAAGTGTTGCAATGATATCAGTGCATGGATTGTGATGATCACATCGCCTACTCAACAATCTGTAATCCCTTCAACCTCGTTCTATGGCCATTGCAAACAGCCATCCAAGAGCCGTCGCAGCAGTGGCAGCAACAGCCAGGCCCTCAAGGGCTTCAAGAGCAACGCTGCAAAGCCACAAAGGTGCGTGGTTTTGGTTGTGCTCGTGCGTGCTTGATGTTTGTCTCCATGTGTGCACATTGTTGGGGATTGATGCACCATGCAACTTGCACGAGCATACACGCGCATGCTTTGCTTCGTGCTTATTTGTACTTGTGAACATACACGTGTCTGTGCATCACCAGCTCACTTTCGCAACAATACCTCGTTACATCACACGCCCCTGTTCCTATACTATGGTCTTGTGCATCTCGTGGTGCAGGAAGAAGAGTGTGCGCGTAAAGGCAGCCAACTTTGTCAAGAAGATGGCTGGCATCAAGGCGCGCAGCAGTGGAAAGGGTCAGACGAAAGCAGGAAAGAACGCCGTCAAGAAGGCCCTTGCCAAGTCCAAGAAGAGCAAGAACATGGCGCAGTTTGTGCCGTTGCGCTCCAAGAAGACGTGCACGGCTGCCCGCGAGCCATCAGCGTCGCTCACGCGCGTGCCCGAACACAAGACATACGATGGCTACGTGAGCGTGGCAGAGAACCTGGTCAAGTTCTTCACCGATATTCCACAACGCTTCCTCTCTGGCGAAAAGTCGGCAGTAAGTTTTGGCAGTCACCCTGCTCTGTTTCGCTAGCTTGTGCACGTGTGAAACTGTGTGCCCGCCCGTGTGTGTAAGACAGAGTTTGTGTGTGTGTGTGTGTGCGTGTGTGTGTGTGTGTGTGTGTATGAGTGTGTGCTTGCTCGCGCGTGCATGTGTGCATGGTTGTGTGTGTTTGTGTGCGAGCAAGTTCGAATTCATCGCAAAGAGCTCATCCACACATGCTCACGCACACTTGCCAACCACCTGTAACGTCGCTTCCCGCGCAGAAGAAGCAAAAGCCAACAGCGTACGTATTCACTTCATTGTCGTTTCAAGTATGCTTGTGCTTGCACATGTGCAGCTAACCTGCCAGCTTGTGCGCGCATTCACAACCACACCAAGCCAACGCATGATGCAGAAACACACGAATGTCGCACATGATCTCATGCTCACGCATGTTCTCATTGTGCACGTGTCATCTTGTCTTGGTTTTGCAAACACCCTCAGTCCCCGCACCCACAAGACCACTGAGGAGCTGCAAATGGAACAGGCGCGCATGGAGAAGGAAAAGTTGATGGCCGAGCACAAGCGGTTCCTGGAACTCCACCCAGAGCTGGCAATGGTTAGTTTGCGCCACTCAGCTGGGCAAACGGGCGTGTGCATGTTTTGTTGTTTTTCAGGATTGCATGTTGTTGGGGTTGTGCTCGCACGCATGTATTCGAGTGCCCTACTCTCTTTGGTGCCGATGACTTGTGTGTCGTGTGTACAGCAATGCCGTGTTGCTTTCTCACATTGACACCCCATACTTGCGCATACACCCCTGCTCAACCCATGCATGTATCTCACGCCGCTGGTCAACAGAGCAACGGCGGCGGCTTCCAGAAGCGTTCAGCGTATGTGCCGACAGACCCGTGTGAGCTCGACCCAAACCTCCCATACGAGGAGGCCGTGGCAAAGCAGGCGGAGGCCCTTCGCATGCGCGCTGAGGCAGAGCGCCAGGAGCGGTGAGACTTGCGTTGAAATGCGGTGTGTGGCTCAGTGTTTCATGTGAGCGTTTCGTCTGAACTTCCCGTCGATGTACACATGCATGTGTCTGCCGATCTATTTCTCTCCATGTATCTCCCTCTGTGACTCTGTCTGCCTGCCTCTACCTCCCTCTCTCGCTCGCACGTCCAACGTTCGACATTGACGCCAACACTGATGTTGCTGTCTCCACGGTGTTCCACTCGTTTTGTTCTCCTTGTTCCCGACAGCAACAAGCAGATGCAACAGGGCCTGCAGCGCGTGCTCGAGAGCACTGAGGGTGAGCTTGGCATTTGCCGCAAGGAAGTGAAGCAGCCCACAGAGCCCACCACACCAGAGTTCCTTCGCCGTGCCCTGATGAACAAGGAGCGCAAAGACAAGCAGCGTAAGTGCACTCTGTATCCACGACTGCATGCATGTGCCGTATGTGTGGGTGTGGGTGTGGGTTTGTGGTTGTGTGTGTGTGTGTGTGTCTGTCTGTACATGTATGTAAGTCCGCGCCATTGCCCCGACAACACGCTAGCCGTTGAAATCCCAAGTCTCACCAACCACGTTTCGCGTCTATTCACAACCTCCCCCCCCCCAACCTTCCTCTCTGTGTGTGGACGCACAGGGCTTACGGAGAAGCAGGAGGCAGAGTTGATGGAGAAGATGCAGCGCCGCTTCAAGGCAAACGGTGTTCCCGTGTTTGTGACAAAGACCAAACCCGCCAAACGTAAGCTGCGGCACGGATGAGTGGAATGGATTATGATGCAACATGACGGTGCAAACATAACGACGTGACCACCGTGGCGTTGCGTTGGGGACCATTGTCGTTGTTGTCACTTTGCGGCCGCCACCAGTGTGCGGTACTCTCTTCCAAATCATTTGCGCCGCTTCTCATGAGTTCCCCCTCTTCCATCCTCCCTGTTCAACCGTGTGCTTTTCCTATATGTTGTGTTTGCCTGCAGGCGCCAAGCGTGTTGAGAGCACGACCATGGAACCGCGCAAGTTCAAGTCGCGCCCCTTTAAGAAGCCGCCAACACCCAAGATGGAGCGCAAGCACAAGGCAACGCAGCCCGAGCCCTTCTCTCGCGCCACGCTGTACCAGAACCCAAAGGAGAAGAAGGAGCACCTGAGTGAGTATGCGCATTTTTTCGCGCAGTGGTGTGTGTGTGTGTATGTGTTTGTGTTTGTGTGTGTATGTCTGTGTGTGCGTGTGTGTGTCTGTGTGTGTGTGTGCGAAGGCAATGGTGATTGGGTGCTTGTCACGGGTTTGGGAGTTTACTGCAGCTCAAGTGCTGATGAAATGTTGTTCTCACAACCACACACACACACACACACACACACACACACACACACACACACACACACACACACACACACACACACACACACACACACACACACACACACACACAAACACGCGACTGTGGTGCCTTCCCACAGAGGAGCAGCTTGAACGCGAGGAGCAGGAGAAGTTGAAGCAGCACCGCGAGTTCAAGGCACGTCCCTTCACGGCTCCAAAGGCGCCATCCATTGCGCGCCCACGCCGCAAGGTGAAGCCCGACCCCTTCCGTCGTGACACCCTCTACCGCGACCCACGCGAGAAGGTGGATGCGCTGGCCCAGCAACTTGCACAGGAGCAAGCGCCGCAGCCGTTCAAGGCGCGTGGCATGCCCGTCTACCCGGAGTTCAAAGTCGAGCGTCCGCAGACGATGGTCGTTGCCGAACCGTTTGAGCTGGAGAGCGTGCGCCGTGCACAGGAGCACCGCCGGCAGCTGGAGGAGCAGCAACAGCAGCGCGAGATGGAGGAAGAGGCGGAGCGGCGTAAGCGCAACAAGAAGAAGCCCCTCGGCGAGCTCACCAACAACCCCAACTTTGACCCGCAGCACGCCGTTCTCAAGAAGGAAATGAGCATCCAGCGCGTAAGTTGTGTGTGTGTGTGTGTGTGTGTGTGTGTGTGTGCGTGTGTGTGTGTATGTGTGTGTGTGTGCGTGCTTGTGCTTGTGCGTGTGCTTGTGCTTGTGCTTGTGCGTGTGTGTTTGCTTGCGCGTGCCCGTGCGAACTTGTTGACTTCTCTTTGAACAACCACACCATGGTATACGAACCTCACACGTAATGACTCCCAAATCACCACTGTCCTGTCATGACACAGGCCAAGGAGAAGATGGCTGCAGACAAGCTTGCCAAGGAAGAGAGCGAGCAGATGCGCCAGCAGCAATTGGAGGAGGAGCGTAAGGAATACCGCAAGATGCTCAACAAGCTTTCATTCCGTCGCGACATGCCCATCTTCCCGTTAGTCATCGACACATCGCTGCTGTTTTTGAACTGATGTTTTCACAAGTGTGTGTGTGTGTGTGTGTGCATGCGTCGAATTGTAAGACGCATTGTCCTGTTTTGACACCTTGTCCTGATTCTTCATTTCCCTCTACGCTCACTACCGCACCCCTCACCAACCGTGCTCTTTCGTTGCACACTGGTTCAAATCACACAGGTCACCCAAGTCGCTCCGCAGCGAGGCGCCGCTCGTGGAGCCGGAGACACCCGATGTTGCCCGTCCCCTCAACCGCCGTCACAGGCAGCCGGCGCTCCCGGCGTACCTCCGCAAGTGAACGTGCTTCATCCCCTCCCCCCTCATCTCTCATTCGCCATCAACCTGGTGTGCAGTGCCGAATCACGTTGTTCTTTTGCAGTGGCGTGCGCATCGTTTGTTGCTTGGTGACACCTGCCTGCATCTTTTGTTGTGCGTGTGCGTGTGTGTGTGTGCGTGTGTGTGTGTGTGTGCGTGTGTGCGTGTGCCAGACAATTTCAGAAATGAACGATTGCTGCTTTGTCGCTTTCCTTTGTTCGCCCCTCGCTTGCCAATGCTTCCCTTGCTTCCTGTCTCATAACACATTCAAGTAATCGCCAACAACCATTGACGACAAGTATGTGTGCGTGTGCTGAGGTAGAGTGTGAACTAAACTGGTTTCACACAAACAACAGCGTTGAAGTCGTTTATTCGAGAGGCAAGAGATGAGATGAATTGTTGCATTCATTCCAAGCACGTGCATCACACACA